CAGCAGCAACATAATAACATACAATATGCCCAAATATTGTAGTTAAAGGCCCAAATCTCCCAGGGGCCATAGGCAGGAGGCGGGCAACCAGGCTTCTCCAATGCCCAGTGGCGAGGTTGGTTTCGCCACACTTCCCATAAAAGACACTGCCCTCCTGCACTCCTTTTACAGCCTCTGTCCCTCCTGTAGAGCCTATGTGCCCCCTCTACAGGTCCTGTCCCCCATAGTGCCTCTGTCCTCCCTCTTCTGTCCTTGTGCCCTCTCTACAGCAGCCCCTGTCTACAGTCCCTTTGCCTCTCTCTACAGCCTCTCTCTATCCCCCATGTGAAGCCTTTATCCCCTACTACAGCCCTTAACCCCCTCTACAGTGTGCCCCCCTCAACAGCGTCTATTCCTTTACTACAGTCTTTAACCCCACTACAGACCAATATCCTCCCCACTTCAGCCTGTAGCCCTCTACTACAGCTCCTAACTCTTCAATTACAGTCCCTATCACCGCACTACAACCCACTACCAGTGCCCCTCCTGAGATTAGGTTCTGGATCCACCCCTGCTTTGCATGCCTGTGTCTGTAGGTCTTCGTATGGCTACATATTTATCTGGGTATGAATGTGTATGTATGCCTTTGTACACCTGTGTTTGTATGTCTCTGTATGCCTTGTTCTGTATGTCTCTGTGTGACTATATGTCTGTGTATGTAAGTCTCTGCATGCCTGTATGTCACAATATGCCTGCGTCTATCTCTCTGACTGTATGTCTGTATATCCCTGTATGACTGTGTGTCTGTATGTCTGTGCGTGTCATGACTGTATACTAATATTTCTGTGTATGTAAGACAGTGTACCTGTATGTGCAGATTGTATAATTGTGTGCCTATATGACTGTGCCTGCATATCTCTGTAAATGTGTGCCTGAATAATTATGTCTGTGTGCCTATATGATTGTGTGTGTTGCCATATATCTATGTCTATATGTCTTGGGAGGAAATAAAAGGCCCTCGGGCCTAGTGAGAGGACACAACAAGGGCTGATGGTGTGGATCCACAGAAAGGGTCTGGGTGGAAGAGAGAGACACACAAAGTGGCTGGAGGAATCAAGATACCTAAGGTGGGCTGTAAGAGAAATACAAGGGGGTGTAAGGCACACTAAAGGGCGTATAAAATACAATAAAGAAGGTAAGAAATTCAAAAGTGGGGTTACGAGACACACAGGTGAAAACTTATTTTTGGTTGGGGGAGGCAGGGGGCTCAAAATGCATCTTCATTTTGTGTAGCCAAAAATATTGTGGTCCAACTGCTAGTTTTCTACGGTTGAACACTGACAATAGTAACTACAACTCTCAGAAATCACTGCTGCATCCATATTGTATGCTTTATGAAATAGACTCAGCAATGCGACAGAAAATTAGTGAGCATTAGACAGACCATGCCATTTCCTGGTTTGCTGAGGGCTCCCGGCAGACCCTGCACAGTCTGTGGATTTGTCACTAGTGCAGCGACTTCAAATGTTGATGTAGAAATTAACGATGGAAAAATCACCCAAGAGATAACCAGAGGCTCCTAATTAGGTGTTCAAGCACTTGGGAGGACCGATAATAAATACCACAGACTTACTCCGTTGTAGTTCAAATATCATCTCATCTTTAATTGGGAGAGCATCGCATATTTATTATAGCATTAGTCTACTGAGCATGTGTACATAAAAAGAAGCAACAATTACTTTATACTGTGCATGTGTGTGTGAAAACAAGGGACAATTGCTAAGTTTAGTTTGTTAGAATACCAAGTTTAACAAAAAGCAACATTTCGTGAAGAATGTACTGCAAAGACTACTGACAGAAGCAGGAGTGAAGAATTTAACTTTTAACCCTGTCAGACGTCGAAGGACTTAAAGGACCACTATAGTGCCAGGAAAACATACTCATTTTCCTGGCACTATAGTGCCCTGAGGGTGCCCCCACCCTCAGGGTCCCCCTCCCGCCGGGCTGGATGGAGAGGAAGGGGTTAAACTTACCTCTTTTTTCAGCGCCGGGCGGGGAGCTCTCCTCCTCCTCTCCTCCCTCTTCTCCTCCTCTTCAGCTGAATGCGCATGCGCGACAGGAGCCGCGCGCACGTTCAGCCAGTCCATAGGAAAGCATTCACAATGCTTTCCTATGGACGCTGGTGTCTTGTCACTGTGATTTTCACAGTGAGAAACGCGGAAGCCCTCTAGCGGCTTTCAATGAGACAGCCACTAGAAGCTGTATTAACCCTAACATAAACATAGCAGTTTCTGTGAAACTGCTATGTTTATAGAAAAAAGGGTTAACCCTAGATGGACCAGGCACCCAGACCACCTCATTAAGCTGAAGTGGTCTGGGTGCCTATAGTGGTCCTTTAACTAGGGCAAAGGTTTTAACCTTTTATTTACCTTTATCTGTGACAATGTAAGCATCTTATGTGGGTCTTTTTGTTATTATTATTATTATTATTTATTTTTTTAAATAGACTATTGTGTATGCAAAATGCAATACATTTGTCAAGTATAATATCAGCAGAGGAATTAAGACAATTTACTTGCATGGTATTAAAAGTATGGAGAATGAGTATACATATATATATATATATCTAATATAAAAAAATATAAAACAAGACAATTATAGATTTTACCCTTTCCTGGGCATGTGTGTGAAATGACGCGCATGCCCAGGGTATCCGGCAGCTTGCATTGACTCTCGCAATTGCACGAGAATCAACAAGCTTATTAAGTAAAAATGGGCAATGTGAAGCGGGATTTGGGACATACCTATCTTCTTTAGCTCTAATTACGGAGAGTATAAAGCCATTCCTTTTTTTTTTAAATATAGTGGTTAATTTGTTGTTTTTCATAGATTGATTTTGCATATTTATCACATTAACCCCTTAAGGACCAAACTTCTGGAATAAAAGGCAATCATGACTTGTCACACATGTCATGTGTCCTTAAGGGGTTAAACAACTCTCAGTCAGTTAAAAATTAGAATATAAAGTATCTCCATTTGTGCTTTAACAATGAATATATGGCAGATTTGCTTGTCAAAACTTTTATATTATTTGGGATTCATTTTAATAAGATTTCCTGTGGAAAAAACGCTTATAATAAATTTCTGTAGCCTATTAAAGAATTTTTTTTTAAATTATAATAATATAAAAATAGGGAATGTTAGGGAATGTTAAGTATGTCCTGTAATTATTCAGGGAATTTCCAGATAGTATTCTATGGGGAGGTAAATAGCTCAGTTAAATAATCATGAAGATCTACACAAAATGTACACACATTTAAATTACATCGTTGGGGATTCCCACAGGAAAGAGACTTGCCTACGGATACCCTCAGTGAGCGAGACTATACACTGTTTCAGTGAGTGAAACTTGCTTAAGAATGCACTAAGCACTACAACCTTGTACAGACCATCCCTACCTGTATTATATTCCTTAAAAGGACAGTATAGTCAGAACTACTGCAGCTTAATTTAATGGTTCTGGACTGGTGTCTATAGCCAGTGCCTGCAGGTTTTTCAATGTAAACACTGCTTTTTCTGAAATAAGGCAGTGTTTACATTGCTGCCTAGCAACACCTCTAGTGGCAGTCAATTAGACAGCCAATGGAGGGGCTTCCTGTGTCAGTGCTACACAGTTTGCAGCACTGGCATTCAGTGCCTCCGCACTCTGAATGGAGGCGCTGAATGTTCCCCTTAGAGATGCATTAATTCAATGCATGCCTATGAGGAGATACTGATAGGCACAGCCCAGCATTTTGCCGCGCATGCGCAATAGCCAGCTGAAATCATCAAGATTGATAATCTCAGCCATGGAGGTGGAGCAAGGCGAGGCCAGACGCAGCAAGACCAGTGTGGCATGGGAAAAAGCTGTGCTCTCGACTATGGGATAACCTTTCAATAACAAAACAAAAGAACGAGCGATAATCCCAACTACTCATCCGCTGAAATCAGGTAGTGGCATAGAGAGTTCAGACTATACAATCTAAAAGAGAAAAAAAATTTATGCTTATTAATAACTAGATCATAATAACTGGGGTCTGGCCGAAAAAGGCGAGAGTAGAGGTAAAGGTACATGAAAAAACTCGGAGATAGATGGTATCCACCGAAAAATTAGGTATAGGACAGATCTGGATTATCGAGAGAGAACAATTCCCTATAGAAATAACCTAAATGCAGGTAAGGAGAATGGGAATCAAAAAGTCCATGCTTCCCTCATATATGAGTAAGTTAGAACCAAAGCCTAGGTACGGAAAAGAGAGAGTAAAAAGGGGGGAGGTGGGAGGGGGCTCATTGACTAAATGTCTATCTACCATAACCACTGGAGCCTAGAAACAATAAAATAAACGCAGCAAACAAGCATAAAGTATATATGCTAGCCACTGTCCCTGATTACCTCGGCACCGCACAGACCCTCAGCGTACCTACCTAAATGACAAAAAAAACAATAAGAATAAGGTGCATAGTGCAACCCTAAAAAGGTGTAGTCAAAAAAAAAAAAAAAGTGAAGTGAAAGAAATGTGTTAATCTTAAATTACTTCACGTTTTGTTTTTTTTAGGTGTCCACCATTTTATTTATAGAGCTACCATTACTATGACATGTTGGCCAGATATTGAAACATGCTTCCACGGTATATATGTTTTTCCCCACAGTCTTTATTTTCAAATTTTGTAAATAAATAAATGAAAAATAATCATACAGAATAAAGAGATAAATGCTAATTCTATCATTTTGATCAGTTTTATAGGAGAGTACCTGCTATTAAAGACTATTAACAAGATTCGCATTGCATTAGAGTGAAAACAATTAATACATTTTGGGGGTGATCGTGTTGGATCAGTTAATGTATTTCTCTTGGCCGTAAATTAATTAACAAATGGGGGAATCTGGTAATGCTCTGTGTATTCACTCTGTACCTTCAATGCTTCCCTCAAATCACATGTCTAGCTAAAGTGAAAGAGAAAGTAAATTTACAGCTACAGATCTGAGAATTACTGGCCAGTGTTTGTGCATTGTTAGTAACTGTGTGGAGTGCTTGGGTGAGTGTGACTTGTGTTAGTTATATATTGTGTGTTAGTGTGTGTGTTGTAAGCTACATTACGTGTCTGTGTTAGTAATTTTGTGTTGTTTGTCAGTTATTGTCTGTGAGTCCTACACTTTTATCAGTGTGTCATATTCTGAGTGTAAGTGTGTCACTGTGTACTGTGTGTGTTTGTTATTGTGTTATTTTAAGTTGTGGGTGTGCTACTGTGTTATTCTGTACAGAGTCTGTGTTACTGTGTTATTCTGTACAGAGTCTGTGTTACTGTGTTACACTGCGCTGTTTGTGACTCCTGTCTGTGCACTGTCTGTGTTACTTTGTTCCATTGTACAATGTGTGGTGCATGATTACAAAGAGACCCAGATCACTTTCGTGAAGTGAATATGGACACCACGAGGATCAGTTCCTGTCTGCTGCGTCTGATGCTGATTCTGCACAGTAAGAGTCACAAGAGAGGGGGCAGGAAATATGAACAGAGATGAGGAGGACGGGGAAAGAAACAGCCTGGAAGTTAATGGGAGAAATAAAAAAATCACTAGGAAAATACAGACAGACAGTCGTGAAATGGGGAAAAGGCCAGGGGGGAATGGGACTACAAGGAACAAGGGGAGGGACAAACACACTTGGATGACACAGAGACGGAAGAAAGCTGTAAAACTGAGATGACGGGGACAAATATTCCAAACGAGCTGGATGACAAATATATTTTTTTTTTAATTTGACAATTTTTATTTGTTTTAAAAGTTTTGAACGTAGGGTACAGAAAAGAAAAGGGTGAGGGGAAAGGTAAAATCAAAACATTCCATGTTAATTCAATTTTCAGTTTGTGTAGCACACAAGGTCTCATCTTACAACGCCAGGGTAGAGAATGATGATGGGACAGGGGTTGTGCAGGAATTTTACCCTTCACCATAAGGTTTGTCGTTATCTCATGTTGTCCACAGTCCCTTATTGTTTTTGCTTTTTATATCCCTTATACCCATGCTTTCCCCGGTGTTTCCTCCTATCCCTCTCCGTTAGTTCTAGTTTCTCCTTCGTGTACTTGGATTATGGTTGTGTCTTTCAACCCTCCCTTAAGTGTCCCTTTTGCTCATCTTTTACCCTTGAAAGCCGCTGTCCTCCCCCCGTCTCACTACGTGCCCCCTCCCACATACGTTTTCCATTTCTCACTCGCTTGACCAGCGTATTTCCGTGGTCCTGTCTGTTTGCTTGCCATCATCTCATAAAATTGCCAATTCAGGGATACTTGGTTTCTCAGGGCTTCTTTTGTGGGTACCTGGGGCGATTTCCACGCTCTTGCGTTATGGCTGAAGAACTATTTTTGGTGGATGACAAATATCTTAATTGTAAAATTAGCTGAATAACCAATATTTCAAATCTAAAATTACCTTGGTGACCAATTCTTAAACTGTCATATATACAAATATAAAAATAAATTCTGCAGAACTCCCTATCTTCATTAGACTCTTTCAGAGAATATGAAGCTTGTTTGTCACTGGGATTGTTGCTACAGTAATAGTCTGGGGTGAGATAAATATGAATTTTCTAATTTTTGAATGTGTATTCAAGTAAATTGTCTGTAGACCCAGTTTGGGCCTTGTTCCCCTGATTAACAAGCACTGCTTGGGAGACAGGAACATATCTAAACAACGAAACAGAAAGACAGGTATGACTAGGTACAGTGTCCCTGGAAAGGCAGGCGTCTACTTACACCTAGTAGAATGGAATTAACCTTGAGACTTAGCTCACGCAAACAGACAGAAATTGAGACCTCGGGACCTAAAGTCTAATTATGTCAATAAGGAATTTGTTTAAAATTAAACCTTTATTAATTATCAAGCCAAACTATAAAACGATTATAGAGAAAGAAAAAGCAAGCTGTGATACATTAATGTCCCCAAAAAAAGAGGAAAAGAAAAAAATATATAACGTAATGAAAAACAGTGATAGGCTGAGTAGACTACGTAATCGGATTAATGGCAGCTATAATTAATTAGCTGTAATAACAGGCGGTCAATAAAGAACCGAATGCCTGTACATGATGTTATAGAACCATGCCAATTAAAACTACATCTAGCGGTTTACTAAACATGCAAGACTGGGGACAGCAATGCCCACAATTTCTGGCAGATTGACTCAGTTTGCTGAGAAACAATTAGGCAATAAACAACCGCAACCCGCTTTACAGAGAAATGTAGACATTCAATGGAAAAGGAGGTAAAATTTTATAAAAACAGAGAGTTAGTGAAGGCCAAAACCAGGGATGAGTAAAAACAGATAAATAATACACTGGGAAGGATATTTCAGAAACTTAGAGCGTATAGATTGGTGGTGTTTGGGCAGTGTAACGTGGCTCACTGGTGTACCTTAATCCAAGTGAAAGTGTGCGACGAACACAATGGCTTCTGGGATATAATAGGTTAAATTTAAAAAAAAAATCTTCTTGACTCCATAATGGCAATCAGATGCCTCATTGGATTAACAGCCTGTTGACATACATTCATTATTTATATCCTCGGATAATTTGTTTTTTGCCAGAAAAAAAACAAATCTACGGCTTAAAATGTGTTTTTAGTAAGTGTCAGCATTAACATTGGGGTTCTCATCTGCCGGTTAATTAAAACGAAGTCGGTTTGGTTAGAAAAATGCAAATCTCTCTATTAAGGCTTCCAGTAAATGTGACTTTTATAAGCCGTAACAAGAAACATAAATGCCTTTAAAATATTTTGCTCATTGACGTGTTTCTTGGTCCAAAAAAGGTTGGAGACCATTGATCTAGATAGCTATGGAATTTATATCTATATAAATAATTAAATAATAACAATAAAAAAAGATAATAGACTAGAGTTAGTATTAGAACACATCTACACCTGTCTACGTCTGAGGTTACTACTGAGGGGTATTACTAGGTTTCAGAACCACCTGTGGCTTGAGCCCAAAACAGAACTTGATGACTCTTCTGGGCCCAAAACAGACCTTGATGACTCGTAGGTGAAGTGGTGATGTCTTGATATATATGCTCATCTCTATGGTATGTTGCTACCTCTAGGATCACAATGAAAGAGCAGCCTGGAACAAACACATTCTTAACGACCAGGTATTCAATATGATCTTGCCATGTCACCTAACTTTTAGAGTGGTGTGCAGGAAAGTTCTGATTCTGAAAGTTACCTGGGGGTACCACTCTGTCCCCTTTAGTAGTCTGGCAGAGCACTGTACCTATAATCTTTTTTTTTCAGTTTTTTTTTTTATATATTATAATAATAACATCTTACCCCCTACTAACAATGCTTATGTTTCACATCACTTGTCTCTCCTGTTGTTACAATTAATTAAATTTACTCTTTTTTTCTTAAAACCACATAATGTGAAGATAAAATGCTAAATTAATATTATAGCACAGAACACACACCAGAAACTTGGTCAGACAGGGTGCTTAACACAGGAGAGGAGACATGTTAGGGATGTCATGGAGATGTTGGGAAAGAGAAGTCCAGATTCATATCATGTAATGTGACAACTCTTTGTTTTAGGCCCAGAGCTGCAGGGTGCCATTTTGGCAGGACAGCCACATGCTGTTGATGTTGTGCTGCCATGCTCACACGTTCTGGTGGAGGAAGGTATGGGTAGAGGTATGGGAGGGCTATCGTTTCAACGAAGAGACATCACTCTGGTCCTGCAGAACGTTACGATTATAGGAGATGAAGAGACGGATCCAATAACAGACTATGTGCCACCGGAGGATGTGGAAACCACCACTTTTCAAGCTACAGGTAACATGCTAGCCACCATCCATGATTCCAGCATACTTATATCTTCACTCTGCTTTACGTGACATCCACAGGACATCTTTTTATATCACCGCTTACGACTGTCCACAGAGTTATGCAAACTATATAAAAACATAGAAGTTGTAATAATTGGGGATATTCAACCAGTCAATATCATTTTCTCATTTCCTATCTAACATGGGGATATATAAAGTGGAAGCTCCTTAGTCCTGGCTAGGTGTTCTCCATCAAGTGTGAGCTGCTGTGGTCTCTCCAGTGTGAGCTGCTGTGTTCCCTCAGTATTCCCTAGAGGAGGGACTCTGATAATAAAGCCAAACCCAGCATGATCTCAGCCTCTAATAATAATGTGCAATAAGATCCCTTACAATAGATATATTATCACAGCACAGCCTCAGCCTGCCCTGTTTATCTTTAATAATTTTATTTGCTTTTCCTGCAGTGAATTTCCCCCCACTGCCCTTTGCAAAGCGCTTGTTACATGCGGAATGCGAAGGGGAGGAGATGACATGTGAACTGTCCCATCTCTATACTGAGTTCTATGTTGTCCACCTTCGCCTCCCTGACCTCAGCCTGTCCATATTGCTGAGAGTAGAGCAACAGGACAGAGACCTAGCAGAGATAACAGAGGAGGAGAAGATCATTGTTCCTATGACAGGTGAGACTCCTTTTGCGTGTTTCATTCTTACAGTATCCACATATTTCCATTGGATGAAAAAATATGGCCCTGGGCAGCTTTTCCTAGCACAGCAAATATCCATGCTCCTTACAAAGGCCTCAAATTAATATTTTTGGATAAGCTTTTCAAATGTTTTTTCATTTTTCAAAGTATTCAAATATCGAAAAACAAATCAATATCGAATTTTTTTAAAATAATTTTCAAAATACTAAATAATTTTAAAAACGTATCCAAAAATATTATAGCGAGGCCATAATGAGCAATAACAGGTAACTGTGTGATCATCTAGGTTAGTTAACATTAAATGAATCGCTCTCTGCCCAGTGATAAGTTGCATGCCATGTGGCATATGGTGCTTTGAGCAGTAATTGTGCAGAACCCAATGCTGTATCCTACCCCCACCCATCCAAGATAGTTTGTACAGGCATCTCCAAGACTTCTAGTAACCAAGAAAGACCCACTAAATGTTTGAGAAACACCATAACATTTTATCTCTTCAGCTCCACGTATACTTCCCACCTCTGGCCCAGACATCCATTCATCTCCTTTGTGACTTGTATTGATCTCACCTCTTATTCTGCTACCTCTATCCTTCTCCTGAATTTATATCTTCTTCCCTTTCCTAACTCATCCACAGCTCCATTCGTCTCAATCACTCCTTCACCCTGTGCTATAAGGTACACCCTCCAACCAATGCGCTTTGTTGCCCCATTCCCTACCCGTCCTTCCAACTCTCCTCTTTACACCATCCTCCTTCCTCCACTTCTTCTACCTCCTTCCTCCACCTAATCTCTTTACCTCTCCTCCATTCCTTCATACTTCTCATCCTACACCACAGCATACCTATTTGCACAACTCTCAGTTCCTCCATTTCCCATCCTTCTTTCTCCACTTTCCATAATGCTTTCCTTCACTTCTCAAACCTCCCTATTTTATGTATAACCTTCCTTCATATCTCATACTTCTCCTCTCCCATATCTCTTTCTTGGATACCTGTATACCTCCATCCTTCACACCATCCTTACTCCATACCCATGTATCGGCTTCCATTCCCTCCACCACTGTGTCATCCAATTCCCATGTTTTCAAACAACCAGCCATCTATCCTAACTTCTCCCTCATTTTGTTCTGTGTTTCTTTTCCCAGTGGACCTCTTGTTATCTTCCTTCCCTCCATCATATTTAACCTCAACTTCAAAAGACATATCCTTAAACTGCGAATTGTGGGGAAGCTCTGAGGAGATAAAGGTGGAGTGGCACCTGCAGTCTGGAGGCAAAGGGCAAATGATTGTACCAGAAGAAGGTACTCGGATAAGTATAGAGCCAGGAACATTCGTAAACAGCCAAGAAATGTCTCTCAACATAAAAGGAGTTCGTGTACAGGACGAGGGGACATATATCTGTACAGTGAACACAAAGCAACATCAGATGCAACAGATAATTAAACTACAGGTCAGAGGTAAGGATAATGAAATGGGGGTAAACATGAATAGATAGATAGACAGACAGACAAGCAGACAGACAGATAGATAAGCAGACAGGCAGGCACAACCAAATAGAAATACAAATTAAGGAACAGCGCACACATTAATATATATTTCTATACTCTATAAGGCTACTTAAAATCACCTATCTCAGCAAACAAATATGGAGATTCAGTTCCACCGTATGGCCATATTGTGTTAAGCCCACCACTACTTCACAGTGCCCCAATATCAGTGGATCCTATACTAATTCCACCATATATAATTTGCATTGTGAGTATATACATCAAAGCACTTACACTTTAATTGTTTAATTTTGACACTGCATTTTTTGTATTGCATTTGCCACATTAATTATGCATTATATATATATATATATATATATAAATATATATATATAAATATGTACATCACTGGACTAATACGGCTTCAATCTCTACTTGAACGATATAGATAGATAGAGATATATATATATATATATATATACAATGCTCTTACAACAGATGATTTAAATACACTTTAGCTTATTTAGCACTAGCACTATTTAATTTGTCTCCAACGGTGGAATTAGTGTAGGACCCACCGATATTGGGGTACTGTGACGTAGTGGTGCGCTTAACACAATATGGCCACAATATGACCCTTCTCGGTCTCTACGCTCTGCCCATGATCTTCTCCTGTCCGTTGCTCTCACCCGTACTGCCAACTCACGCTTATAGGACTTCTTGCGGGTGGCTTCCTTCCTATGGAATAACCTGCCTACTACCATCAGACTCTCCCCTAATCTTCAATCGTTTAAGAAGTGCCTTAAAACCCATCTCTTCAGGAAAGCTTATGGCCTCCCAGAGTAATATCTACCTCACATACCTGTCTCTTGCTCTCTCCTAAAGGGCAGCACTCTACTCTCTCCTCCAGCTCTGATTCACTCCCACCTTATTTGATTGCTATTCCCTGTCCTAATGTGTTTTATACCCCACCTCCTATAGACTGTAAGCTCGTTTGAGCAGGGTCCTTTTCAACCTATCATTCCTGTAAGTTTTCTTGTAATTGTCCTATTTATAGTTATATCCCCCTTTCATAAAATTGTAAAGCGCTACAGAATCTGTTGGCGCTATATAAATGGCGATAATAATAATAATATGATGGAACTTAATCCCCATATTTGTTTGCAGAGATAGGTGATGTTAATATTAATGAAATATAAACAATACAATCTACAAATATAAGAGCACACAGAAACCAAAAATAGTGTAGTATGTTTAAGCACCGTTTTTTGCTTCACTTTGAGTGCCACCTCCTCTTCCCTGGCAGTGTCGAGCCTGGAACCATCTGTCTCCTGCTACCCAGACCATCAGTATCACTGGAGGGATTTACACCCATCATTGGAAATCTGTCAAATAAAAACACAAAAACGGGGTTTCTGCAACATTTCACATCTGGACACCGACCCCCTGTCCACTCTACCAGGGGTGAAGGGTTGAAAATGAAGAAAAATTGAGCTCCTCTGAATCCTAAAGATTCCTATATGCCTGCATTTTACTACTATCCTGTGAGTGTAATTTGTCACAAGCACATTTCTGGTGCTTAAGGACACATGACATGTGTGACATGTCATGATTCCCTTTTATTCCAGAAGCTTGGTCCTTAAGGGCTTAAACATACTACACTATTTTTGGTTTCTGTTTGCTCTAATATTTGTAGATTGTATTGTTTATATTTCATTAAGAAGATTTGAGGGATCTTCTTACAATCTAAAAAGGGTAACTTTATTTTATATACGTTTACCCACTGGGGAGCATGTGTGTTATATTACATTTTTTGTACTATAGGTGATGTTAAGTAGCCTTATAGAATATGGAAATGTATTATTATGTGTGCGCTGTTCCTTAATCTGTATTATGTATACATTTTGGTCACTCCGGCAGTACCATTGCTGCAAAATGCATGTTCTGGGTGTACCCCCAATTCTCATTTGTCTTTATAACAAGATAGAAAGGCATATAGACAGACAGGAAGACAGCTAGACATACAGGTACAGAGACAGTCAGAGAAAGCAATGGAGCCACAAGTTTAGTGAAGGAATTACAGAAAGATACAGAAAGTGACAGGTCAGCAACGTAAATTTACATAATCTATCAATGCTAATAAAGTATACAAAGAATTAATATTAGACACATTGTAACCTTTTCAGATTAGGACTGTTGATCAATATGTCTAAGACTTTGTTAAATGATACATATCCGTTTGTTCCCAGACCCCCCTTTGGTGACATTATCTCTTACTGGATCTTCCCAGCCTCGACTGGTCTGCCGGACAGACCGGTACTATCCCCTTGACGTGGAGATCTCCTGGCTGAGGGGTGGGGAGCAGTTTACTCATGACTCCCATGTAACCTCCAGCCATCGAATGAACATTGATGGAACTTTCAACCTTACCAGTTATTTGAGTGTTCCCATTCCACCCACTGGTGCTCCACCTGACATCTACACCTGTTCTGTGTCACACATCTCTATCAGTGATCCAATTGAGGTCTATACCAGTGTCCCCCCAAAAGGTACATTTACTGATAAGTTACAAGAACATTGTGTGCTCATTAAGACCTTATATTTATTAAGCATATCAAGTTATAAAGGGGGTACAGTAAGTATGCAGTGTATATTGTGCTAACAGGTGTACTCAGCACTTTACAGGTTACATTACAGCAGGGGGATGTTCAGTAATTGCAGTAGATTTACAGTGTATGTACATTTTGTTTATATAGCACTAACAGGTGTACTTAGCACTTTACAGGTTACATTACAGTAGAGGGAGGTACAGTAAGTACAGTAGATATACAGTGTATGTATATTTTATTTATTTAGAATGAACAGGTGTACTCAGCACTTTACAGGTGTACATTACAGTAGAGGGAGGTACAGTAAGTGTAGTAGGTATACAGTGTATGTATATTTTATTTATACAGCGCTAACATGTGTTCTTAGCACTTTACAGGTTACATTACAGTAGAGGGAGGTACAGTAAGTACAGTAGGCAGGGCAGGCACAACCGCTAGGCTGACTAGGCAACCATCTAGGGTGCACAAGTCTGGGTGGCGCAGTCTCCAGGTGACTGGCAGAAGGGGGCACACAGCACAGTGCACCCCTCCTGCCAGTCACTAAATGTAGCGTCCCCTCAGCTCTCTGTGTGTCTCTCTCCACCCCAGTCCTCTGTGTGTCTCTCCTCCACCCAATCCCTCTTGTGGTCTCTCCCCTTACTGCCAGCTCACCTACCTTCTCGTGTGTAGCTTGGCCAAGCCGTGGACCACAGTAGAGGAGCTCCTGTAACCTGTACCGGTCGGACAGGAAGCAGTTCGGCAACTCTTTGCGATCACTTCTTGTCAGACCGGGTAGGGGATACAGAAGCTTCTCTACCTCATCCACGCTACACAGGAGAAGGTAGGTGAGCTGGCAAGAAGGGGAGTGATCACAAGAGGAGGCTGGGTAGAGGAGGGACAAAGAGACACACAGAGGGCCTGGGGGAGAATAGAGACACAAAGAGAGGGCTGGAGGGTAAGAGGCACACAGAGAGCAGGGGGTGAAGAGGTACACGGAGAACTAGGGGAAAAGTGGCACATAGAGGACTAATGGGGGTGGGAGAGGCACACAGAAGGCTGAGGGGTTGGGAGAAGCACACAGGGAGTCTGAATGGGACAAAGAGACACACAGACGGACTGAGTGGGACAAAGAGAGACACAGGGGCTGAGGATACAAAGAGACACACAGAGGACTGGGAGCAACAAAAAGGCACCCAAATGGGCAGGGGGAAGTGACACACAGAGGGCTGAGGAAGGGGAAAAAGACACACAAAGGAGTTTGGGACAAAGAAACAACCAAAGTTGGCAATTTTTGTTTTCTTTTGTGGAGGGGTGACGCAAGTTGCTGGTCTTGCCTAGGGCGCAAGGGCCCTGAAAGTAGGTACACAGTGTATGTATATTTTATTTATACAGCACTAACAGGTGTACTTTGTACTTTACAGTAGAGGGAGGTACAGTAAGTGCAGTATGTATACTGTGTATATTTTGTTTATGTAGCACAGGTGAGTTTGGAGTTGGGATGAATGAATTGGTTCTAGTTTGTAGTTCTGCTTTATGCAATATTACTGGTTCTAAGCTTTGCATGCTAGAGTTAAGTCCATGATTGACCACTTTCCAGACACCTTCTCTTCTAGAAGTTAACATTGTTTGTTCTCGTCTTTGAACAGATTTGGAAAGATCGATGGGAATTTCTGGCTTCTTAATTTCGTCTGTGATATTCATCCTTGGAATCATTATGTGGAAAAAAAGATGGGCTCACGGCAGTGATCACAGTGATGGCAGAGACAGAGTGAGACTGACACAGACAGAGTGACAACGACAGACAGACAGACATACAGACTTGAATCCTACTTAATTCCAATGGGCAGATATTCGGTTTGAACAGTTTCCTCGAATGTAATATATTTATTACAGTCTGTGTGTATTTCACTAGAGGTTTATTTTTAGATTTTGTCTGGGTGAACAGATTTCAATCCAGATAGCTCATTAAAGGGACACTATATGCACCCAGACCACTTTTGCTCATCAAAGTGGTCTGGGTGCAGCATCCTAGGTCCCTTAACCCTGGAGTAGTAATTATTGCAGTTTTTTAATAAACTGCAATAATTACCTTTGAGGGTTAACTCCACCTCTAGTGGCTGTATACCAGACAGCCACTTTAGGGACTTACAGGTCATTGGGCGACTTTTGGTCGCTTAGCTGACGCTAGACGTCCTCACGCTATCCATGAGGACATCCTGTATCACCGAAAACCCCATAGGAAAGCATTGTATAATGATTCCTATTGGTGTAGTACTAAATGAGAGTGTGCCCATTGCATTAGGTCTTCCCCAATGTCAGAGGAGCGAAGACGTTGCCTGAACCAGCACTGAGGGACATCAGCGGTGTAGTCATGTGACAGAAGGGGTGTTTAACCACTTCTGCACCAAGGCGCGAGGGAGGAGGGCACTATAGGGAGCTATAGTACTATAGGTTGCCTTTAATATGACTATGATACACTGGGTTGTAACTTGACAGTCTACAATTTGGGTAAATTAATGTGAAAAAAAATAAATAAAATCGCACTGATTTCAACACTTGAACCAAATGATCAATAACCTTGTTAAATAATAACAATTACTTAGCTGGGTTATTTACCAAACTGTGACTTGTCAGACATTGATAAAGTCTACCACTCTATTGTGTCCCATAATTTGCAATTCCTTGGGACTCTCCTGACAATTCCCTTTTAACTCCTTATAAATTAATGGTTTAATGAATTAAAGGTTTAATTACTAATATGCAAGAATTGGGCTTTTACCGTTAACAGCCTTGGAGTAATTCACAAAAATGAATTAGGAGTATTTAAGAGAGAACTGGAATTTTTAAGGCAAAATAGCCAAGTTGGAACATACTTGGAGAAGTTTTTTTCGATTGTTTTGTACAAAATGAGCAACTTTCTTGTCAATTGTAAATAGTTCTTGGGAGTTATTACAGCTGAGGAACATGTAACTGTAAACATAAATTATAACAGTAGAGGGCACTGTAAGCACAGCCAAGAACCCATAATGGACTATAATTACTAAAGTAAGAATTTCAAATTTAAGATAAAAAAATAGCTAAATAATCAGTTATACTTTAAGTCTGGCTATTTTGGTCTAAAATTTGAAATTCACTTTCAATTGCCGAAAGTTCTCAATTCGGTAAATCAATTATTAGTGATTTTATTGTTAATAAAAATGTTTGGTTTTTTTAAAAGGGCAAAACATTTACTTTTTAAAATAATAATCAACAGATTGATGCAAAATAGTGAGTGGAGTTTTTTTTTTTTTTTTAGAACTCAATCAGGCGGTTGATCCCTGGCTGTTTTCACAAACAGATTATAAACAAACAATATCTCCCCTTGCCCTGTGATATCATAAATAACATGCAAATTAAATCAATAAATAATTGTTAGTTAGTAAACACAACCGGGAGCACTGTACCATTCTTTGCAGGAACCAGTTTGTAAAATAAAACATTGTGAAGGGGAAATAAAAAAAATAAAAAAAAAATAAAAAAAAGAGGATTGTAATGTGTTGAAAAAAATAAGGAATGGTAATTTAATAGTTATTTACTCAAGTGGGAATTCAAAGTAAACAAATTTAAGGTAAAAATAGCCAAACTAAAAAGGATTCTCCAAGTCAGCTACTCTGGCCTTAAAGAGAACCGTTCACCACTTCCCCCTCCCTTGCTGCGATCCCATTGAAGAGGTGGGTGTTACGCATCTGTAACACCCACCTCCAGTCTGCACGGTCTCTTCCATGACGTCGACACACTGACATCACTCCGTTCCTATACTCCATAGCCAGCTCTAGCAGCGCATGCACTGTTGTTGCAATGGGTGGCGCGCAGAAGGAATGCCTGTGGGTGGTCTCTTCTTCTCTCCTTTATCAATCAATTCCTTGGCATAGAGCAGGCCTGTCCAATCTGCGGCCCCCCAGATGTTGCTGAACTACAACTCCCATGATTCTTTCAATTAAACAAATAGCCAGGGAATCATGGCATAGAGTGTACACCAAAGAATTAATAGACAGGTAGGAGAAAAACCTCTGTAACATTAGCTTAATAGCAAATGTACTAGCACAATGTATTGATCGAATTTGATGCTCTTAAAAAAGAGCAAACATAGTTTTGGACATGACAGACGCTCTTTAAATTTTGAAATTCACTTTGAAATCTCACTTCAGTAAATAACTCTGTAAATCTTTTGGTGGCATGGGGAAAGAAAATCAATTTTGTTCTGTGTTAGCAAACATATAATGAATGAAACAATGTGTCAGCAGTAAATGGGTTAACTCTCCATTATCAAAAATCTAGACGCAACAGAAATCAAATCAAATAAAAATGGCCTGTCTGTATTCCGAATAAGATGTAATGCAAATACTATAGTGTTAGAAATACGCCAAAAAAATAATTCCTAATGCAATAACGTCCCACTTCCCTAAGTTTATTGTCTGGCCCCCAAACCTTTTAACATTTACCTCCGTCTCCTCCGACATTGGCAATGGAGAGACTCTAGTAAGCATGTGCGGTGAGCACCACGCATGTATAAGGCCTTCCTCGTATTGAATCAATGACTTTAAACTGACTTTAAACTTCTATGAAAATTCCAATGTTTTACATTGCAGGACTAAGGTGACAGGGACACTGCACCAAGACCACTTCAATGAGATGAAGTGGTATGGGTGCCTATAGTGTCTTTTTAATATATTACACTATGAATAGTGATTGAACGTGCAAGCAGATTTGATTACATCTGTGCATTGATTCAGACCGTTTAGCAGTGACCGGTCACAGAATCCAATCTTTTCATCTGGCCTGCAGTACATAGATAAAGTGATTCCTCCTATCAGAGCTGTTTCATGTGAAGCTAATCTTTTCAGCCTTTGAGATAAGACTCAAAATATATTAACAGTTTTAACACGTTTTAGTTTCAGTACATCGGCGCCATTATACACTAAATCCCTTTTTTCCCATTTGACAGATTACCTCCCGGGATTTGCAATATTATGTTTACTTATCTAACAAATATGGGCTTGGGAAATCTGAAAATGAAATGTAGTAGTCCACAGAGCCGTATTCCTGGCAGGGAGTGCCTTGATCTTAGCTCCCAATCAATCATTGCTAGAAGCTCTGCCCTTCGTACCTGTCCATCATCTGAGAACGAGGAGAGACAGAATTAATGCATAGTGTGCCCAAATCTAACTATATTGTGACATAATTAGGTTTTAACCCTGCAATGTAAAACACTGCAGGGTTTTAAACCTTGGATCAGGGATCCTCAAACTCCCGCCCCCCAGATGTTGCTGAACTACAACTCCCATGATTCTTTAAATTGCATAGATAGCCAGGGAATCATGGGAGTTGTAGTTCAGCAACATGTGGAGGGCCGGAGTTTGAGGACCCCTGCCTTGGATTAAACACAACTCTAAGGCTGTCTTCCAGACAGCCACTAGACGCTTGTCTGTAAGATCCAAGTCAGACTCGGATGTCAATCAAACGGTGCTCCAAGAGAGAATTTGATTGGTGCAGTGTGGCGATTTGACGTGCATGCGCACTAGCCTCCCAATGCTTCCCTAAGGGGAAGCACTGGACTGGCTGAAATCATCAGCTTTAGGAAAAGCGTCTGCTGAGAGACCAGTGCTGCGTGACGGAAAAGGCAAGTAAAACATACCTTTTAGATACTCACGGCAGGAGGGCACTTGAACGCTAACTTTTCCCTTTAGTATACATTGAGTAAAAAAGGATAAATCAACACAAGTTATCAATAAATGTTCAGTTGTATTCAATGGCCTAATTTTTTATTTTCTGAAAATAGGGATATGGTGTGGACCAGTGATGCATTGCTCATATGCTTCAATTTTCCTGGTTAACTCATCTGAATTTTTTTGAAATATTGTTTTGCTTAATATGCAGCACAGTCACTTTCAACTGGATAATCTCAATGACTGATCTTAATTTGTATTATATTTTATACTGAACACAGATAGGCCCCTTATATTTGATATTTGGTACCCCTATGAATAGTGTAACAGGTAGTTAACAGGTTTAGTGTTGGAAAATTGTTTAATTTATATTAGATTGCAATTTGTACTTTTTCAGGGAAGCGTGCGGCATACTGCAGCTTTTTGGATTTTTTTTGCTTAGAATTGTTTCGTTTTCTATTGCGTTTTCTAATTTTGTGCAAGCTTTGTAATAAACAAAAAAGTTAGTCAACATGATTTGGATCTTGAATTTTTATTGTGATTTGTGGGGAACTTGAAGTTTGATGATGGTCGTAAGAAGTCTGGGGAAAATACAAAAAAGATAAAAAAGACAACAGGAGAAGAAATGTCTTGTAAGCCTACACACATTCCAAAAGGTTGCAGATCTCATAACAGGACTAACAGTGCACCCATCTTCCTCAGCTTTTACGAGACATTTGTCCTTCCATCCTACAACAGAGGAAGAACTGGAAGGCTCTTATCAAGCTCCCGCTCAGACAGGCAACACATAGTTGGAGCATTCCATTCAACTTCTTTCCTGTTCTCCATGTTCCTCAGTTCTGTCATCAGTGGTAGGCTTATGACAAGGATTTGATCCACCCCCTGCATGATCTGATACTCCTACCCAAGATGTTGTATCTTGATTTGTGTCTGCCCTCCTATAGACCCCACACCTCACATTATATATTGCCTAATCGTGGAGACTGTTTTGATACTCCTTTGGTGTTTTCTTTTCTGTCCATTATTTACTGAACCCAATTTCAGTTCTCCCTCCCTTTTTCACAGATGATAACAATTGTTACGTTTTCAGATAATTTCCTCTTTTCTTGCTCATTAAGTGTTCTTGCATAGCAAGACCACTTAATGTTATCTCACATATATTATTATTCTTATTATAGCCAAATTTACCACCCTACCTCCTCCCACAGTTTTTACACTACATAGACCGTAATATACCAAAACGTGCGGATTGTCCCCGATTGGATTGCTATTACTTTGTGGAACGTTTCGCCGAATGGTTCACGGAATATCGTTGTTCTTGTGGCAAAATTGGTCCCATAGGAATGAATGGCAAAATGTTCAAAACTAGAGTGGGAGCTGGCAAAAGCTGAAAAATCAGGACATGATTTCTAAACTGCCACCACTCCCTCATTTTCAAGCCCACCTACACAAATCTTATATCAAAACGTTCAGCTATCCCTGCTGCCACTAAACATGTCAACGGCTAAGCCATAGTCCTGATAGATTTCACAATATGACCATTTGTTTGCAACTCACGCCGTCCATTGACATTCATTGAAACTTCACTCTGCCAGCTCAAACTTGAAGGGCAATTTCTAAACTGCGACTGTGCCTTCATTTTTAATACTTCAGAGACATACTATGCATCAAAATGTAGGTCTGGGTCTTGTGATTCTCACAATATAAAGCTCTTCGCTGTAGGATTTATAGTTTTTAAAATATGACCGTTTGAAGATGGCAACTGCCAAAATACTCTGACCTGTGCCAGGCTGCAGCAGCAAGTGATGTCATAGACAGGGCCTTTTGTACACCTGCTAATGTTTTTATAAATGTATGTTTTAATGTAACGGTGAAGCACTTTGGGCAACAACGTTGCAATTAAATGTGTTATATAAATAAATAAAAGATGAAATGCATTTCTCACTCCATCAAGCTTGCAATGTGCACGTTTTAAATTTGATCAATCAATTGGTTAGTGTAATGTTTACTATCTTTACTCACTCCAAACACTCCACACAGTTTCTCTGCCCACGCCAAACAGTTACTCTGCCCAGTCCAACCTTTCCACAATTATTCCAGCCACTCCAACCACACAACAGTTACTCAAGTCACTCCACCCAGTTACTCTGCCCACTCCAATTGTAGACTACTGTTGGAGGCAAGAACACTTCACACAATTTCCCCAGAAATTGTAGCTTTTCTAGTTTTCAATGCATCTCTATAAGGAGTGTTTCCATGCAGAGTGTGTAGACACTGAATGGCAGTCACACTGTGCAGCACTGCCCCAGGAAGCACCTCTAGTAGCCATCTGAGGATTGGCCAGTGGAGGTATCCCTGTAATGTAAACACTGCCTTTTCTATGAAAAGACAGTGTTTACTGCAAAAAGTCTGAATGATTCTACTCACTAGAACAAATACAATAAGCCATCGTTGTTCTGGTGACTTTAAGGTACTAAGTTGAATGGATTATATTGTAATATAAGACACTTCCATTCTGGGAGATAAGAAAACTCTAATCTGACAGCAGGATTCAAAATTTCCACTTACCTCTATCCATTGGCGAGTGAAAATTGTACCCTGGCAAGTAAAAATTCACATAAAGCAAATGTGGCATGAAACTTCCAGGTTTGCAGTGGCAAGTAATTTTCAAGGCCTGGCTTGCAGCATAGGACTTGACATATTAAGCCCTCCTGATAGTGTACTCAAGGAGTCCTCAAACTACTGGGCCCGGCCCGCTCGTCAATTACAGAACCGCCACTGTTTAGCCACAATAGCAAGGCCCAGGGCCGCCACCGGGGCCCGCATGCTGATAGGGTCCATCGGGTGGCCCAAGCATCTTCAGGGGCCTGTTTAGCGCTGTGGCCGTGCAATAGCACAACCAGGCCCTTATAAAAAAAATTGCAGCTGCAAAGTAGTCCTGGGAGGAAGTGACGGCAGGTCACTTCCTCCCAGCAGACAGGTCGCGAGAGCCACGCCGACCCCCATCAGCCACACGCACCCTCCTGCAAAAAAAAAAAAAAAAGTACGAAAAATTAGCTATGTGTGTGTGTCGGTATGTATCTATATGTATTGCAGTATGTGTGTCTGTCTGTGTGTATGTATATCTGTTTGTATGTATGTATGTCAATATATGTATTTCGGTATGTATATACGTATCTGTATGTATGTCAGTATGTGTGTATGTATGTCTGTCTGTCTGTATATGTCTGTCAGTATGTACGTCTGTCAGTTTGTATGTCCTTATGCATGTGTGTGTCTGTATTTATGTGTCTGTGTCTCTGTATATGCCTGTGTCTGTTTCAGTATGTATAGGAATTCAGATTTTTTTTTAAACTATAGTCCGGCCCCCCAACAGTGTCTGAGGGACAGTGAACTGGCCCCGTTTAAAAAGGATGAGGACCCCTGGTGTACTCATTCAAGAAATACACAAAACAGAATGTAGAACATAGCTAACAATTTACGGAAGGTATAAGGTGTTATATCTGCTGCCACACATGAGAACTGTTAATATTTGCCCATAAACTGTTCAAATACTCATGTATTACAACAAATAGTTGATGCCTGTCCCACTGCTGGGTGTCAAAGATTGTTATGGTCTACTTGGTTGAAAGGTTGCTAACAATCAGAACAGGATATGCCTGGAAATGATAAGCAGGACAGAATTAATATGAAATCATTTATTGAGGACACGTAGAGAAATTAGCAAATGGAATTTAAGAGTCTCTGTATCTGGATTTGTACATGTCAGCGATGTTTACCATAACGGTTAAATCTTCTGTACAGGAAACGTATTCGCTTATTAAGATCTTCTCTATCCCGATAAAACATTCTGGAACCAACCATCTGACGCTTTCTGATACACCTCTGTAGCTCATTCCCTTTCCATCCTTTCAACCAGGAAGGGCCAACAATCAGGTCCCGAGGGTGTGCCTGAAATTCGCCTGGACAGATACATATGGTGCAGAAAATTAGAGGGTAATGCACGAAGACTCACTATCAAGCTCAATCTACTTTATATAATGAAGAACAAACACACTTTGCATTATATCTACCAAAATTAAATCAGTATTCCCCAGAGTATTACTAACATTTGCAGATTCCCTGTATTACCTACAGAGAACAAAGATTACGAAGATATCTCAGTCAATCCTATTCCTCGTATTACTGTGAACAAATACAGCTTTTTATATCCAGTAAAGCGCCAATAAAAATAAAATCCCAATTTAGGATTATTTTCGTGATAAAATGTTCTGATGTCAGTGGCATTACGACAGAAAAAAATATTTGTGAAATTCGGATTGTGATTGTTTTTATAACTATCTCAGGATACCAACTAAAATCCAAAAATATCAATTGGTTACCAATGCTGGGTTTTTTTTGTGCAAGGGTCTTGAGATGGAGGAAGGATTATTTTGAATGGGTTTGTAGGGGGACAGGGGTCTTTGTAGAGGGAGGGAAGGAGGTTTTGTGAATGGGGATGCAGGGGGTTTGTAGGGGTGGGCAAAAGTATTGTAGAGGGGGTAAGCAGGGGTTTATTGTAGAGGGGGTGGGCAGGGGATTTTGTAGAGGGGGGGCAGGGGATTTATAAAAGGGGGATGTGGCAGGGGTTTTGTAGAAGGTGTGGGGGGGGGTTGTAGAAGGGAGACTGGGCTATGTGTTTAGTAAATAGCTCCCTAATTTGATATCCCCAAATATGCCAATCCCACACAAACATAACAAATAAGGGAGTTATCTACTAAACAATTAAAATATCAAAATTAAGAATAGGGATTTTAAAGATATATTACTTATATACACATTATCTATATTATATATTTGATGTGTAGCCCAAGACAATTCCTCTGCACTCAATGTGGCCCAGGGAAGTTAAAAGGTTGGACACCCATGGTCCAGACTAAAGCCTTTCTCATCTGCTGCTCTTGATACTTTGTACAATCTACAACTCCCATTTCTTCAACTTAAAATTATTTTTTTTAAATCAGAAATGAAAATCACATTAAAACAAAAGCTATCAAAAGAATGCATGTTGAAATAAAATGATTGTCAGTGGCATTACGACAGAAAAAAATATTTGTGAAATTCGGATTGTGATTGTTTTTATAACTATCTCAGGATACCAACTAAAATCCAAAAATATCAATTGGTTACCAATGCTGGGTTTTTTTTGTGCAAGGGTCTTGAGATGGAGGAAGGATTATTTTGAATGGGTTTGTAGGGGGACAGGGGTCTTTGTAGAGGGAGGGAAGGAGGTTTTGTGAATGGGGATGCAGGGGGTTTGTAGGGGTGGGCAAAAGTATTGTAGAGGGGGTAAGCAGGGGTTTATTGTAGAGGGGGTGGGCAGGGGATTTTGTAGAGGGGGGGCAGGGGATTTATAAAAGGGGGATGTGGCAGGGGTTTTGTAGAAGGTGTGGGGGGGGGTTGTAGAAGGGAGACTGGGCTATGTGTTTAGTAAATAGCTCCCTAATTTGATATCCCCAAATATGCCAATCCCACACAAACATAACAAATAAGGGAGTTATCTACTAAACAATTAAAATATCAAAATTAAGAATAGGGATTTTAAAGATATATTACTTATATACACATTATCTATATTATATATTTGATGTGTAGCCCAAGACAATTCCTCTGCACTCAATGTGGCCCAGGGAAGTTAAAAGGTTGGACACCCATGGTCCAGACTAAAGCCTTTCTCATCTGCTGCTCTTGATACTTTGTACAATCTACAACTCCCATTTCTTCAACTTAAAATTATTTTTTTTAAATCAGAAATGAAAATCACATTAAAACAAAAGCTATCAAAAGAATGCATGTTGAAATAAAATGATTTACCTTGTTATGTTTATTGTACTTTTAAAACCCTCAGAATTTGGTTTCTACTCCTAGTAGTATCTGCATGCCTTCAAAACCCACTTAGACAATGTTACATGGCAGAACTTCCTATCCTAGCTCAACCATAAACACTGACAGTGAGCTTACCTAGTATGCCTATATTGTCATAAACTCCAAACATAACCCGCTTATTGTTCCAGCGGTCTGTTAGTTTGAGCTGCGGACGAAAATGATTTTTCAGAAGATCCCGGTGTCCTGAAAAACAAAGCACAGTTACAATTCATCAGGTCTGAACTAAAATATCAATATAGCTCTTTCAATTACCCTGCTCTCTAAAACAGCACTACACGCACACCACTCCAACCTCTGGACTACATATGACACCACATAATAGTGCCTTTCCCCACATACCGCTGCTCTAATTTCCTAATAAATCTATCACACCACCCACCACCACTATTCTCCCCATTCTAAGCTCCTAACAAGCCAAGACAACAGTCAAAGATAATTAAACTAAAGCACAAAAAAAATACCTGACCAAGCCCATCTGCCTCCATGAACAGTACTACTTAACATTCCCACACTACACAAACTACGCCACTGAAACTACTCTCACACTCTAGTGAGTTCCAACATATGCTATGAGGATGTGCACACTCTGTCCATGACCTAGTCACACTCCATACTGTACAAAGCCATTCACACGCTGGCACTATACTCACATCGCACCAAGAATCTACTCATACACACTACTACGGCAGTCTAGAGTTATCATTTTCATGTATCCCTCTTGGGCAGAGACTTCCTATCAAATGACCACCCTGTAGCACTCCTCTTACACCACGACAAGTACATCATACTTCCACATCCTATCAAGCAGCTTACAGTACTCATACCTTCACTACTCCTATACACACACTAGATCTCAACACTAAAGACCTGCTCTAACATCTGACAAAGGAGGTGGGTCTACTGCAGTTCTCACAATCTTCCAGTTTCTCACATTCTAAAACAAATCCCAGAGAGCACTAGTGTAACACTCCAAATCTCCCCTCACACTCTGTCATTAGAAATTCTGCAATATGCTGTCCATAATCTAACAGTCTTCATTAGGTAGGATACCATGAATGTAATCATCACCAGATCTTAACTTACCAAGAGAAAACGAGCGGGCAGCTGGTAATAACTGGGAACATAACGAACGCCCCACACTAAAAAGCTTATTTACTCCCCACATCTGCAGAAAGACCAAATGGATATAAGTAAACAATATAAACATGCATATATTAAAGTGCAAAATTACTAGTTCATGGCACACATGTAACAACCACAGTGAATGTACAGTAGCGGAGTAGAAGAACCACTTGTAGGAAGGTTCTCCTGTTCTTCCCCGTCAATCAGTTGTCAGAACTGAGCTCTATGCCACATCAATTAGGCTAGGATGAACAGGAGGTAAGCTGAGCTATTTTAAATTACATACATCCAATCTTTAACCCCTTAAGGACCAAACTTCTGGAATAAAAGGGAATCATGACATGTCACACATGTCATGTGTCCTTATGGGGTTAAAATAAACTTGTCTGTACCATAGCCTTTAACCGAATGGATGCCGGAGGTATGTGTCTCAAAACTTGTACTGTTTACTTTAGAATTCAATGGAATGTTCACGCATTCTGGAAACATGTTTAAAGGGGTTTAAAGTTTACCTATGCTCCTTGTATAAATTAATCTGTTATTTTATATCAACACAGTCTCAATATATCACAGGATAATATATAAAGTCTGTGTACGCCAGGATAAGTAGATTGCATATTATATCAGAGTCCACATATATAAAATAAATAGATTACAGATACATTTTATCAGATTTATAGTATATGATACGATAAATAGATTATAATGTTTTATTATATCAGAGTGTGCATATATTATAAAATAAATTGATTATAATGTTGTATTATACCAGAGTCTTATAGTATAACATAAATAGATGATACTTGTTATATTATATCAATCTTATAGTATATTATAAGAAACATAGATTATACATGGTATATGTTATCAGAGTCTTCTAGTATAAGATAAATAGATGATACATTTTATATTATGATGTAATTAGATGATACATGTTACGATAAATAGATTATATATGCTACATTATGATATAATTGAATGATAAATATTATAAGAAATAGATGATACATGTTATGATATGATTAGATGTTATATTATAAGATAAATAGATGATACGTTACATTATGATATAATTAGATGATACATGTTGCATTATATTAGATGATACATGTTACATTATGATATTAGATGATACATGTTACATTATGATATTAGATGATACATGTTACATTATGATATAATTAGATGATAAATGTTATAAGATAAATAGATATATGTTATGATATAATTAGAAGTTATATTATAAGATAAATAGATTATATATGTTGTGATGCAATTATACATGTTATATTATAAAATACATAGATTATACATGTTATATTATAAGTTTAATAGATGACACGTGTTATATTGTATTATGAGAATTGGATTATAACGGTATATTTGTTTTTCTAAAATAATTAGATTATAATGTAATATTGTATTATGCGATAACTAGATTATAATGGTATATTGTACTATAAAATAATTAGATTATAATGTTATATTATGAGATAGTTGGATTATAATGTTATATTATGAGATAGATTATAATGTTATATTATGAGATAGATTATAATGTTATATTGTATTATGAGAGAGTTAGATTATAATGTTATATTATGAGATAGATTATGTTATATTGTATTATGAGATAGTTGGATTATAATGTTATATTGTATTATGAGAGAGTTAGATTATAATGTTATATTATGAGATAGATTATAATGTTATATTATTAGATAATTAGACTATAATGTGATATTATATTATTAGATAATGTTATATTATGAGATAGATTATAATGTTATATTATATTATTAGATAATGTTATATTATGAGATAATTAGATTATAATGTTATATTATGAGATAGTTGGATTATAATGTTATATTATATTATAAAATAATTAGATTATAATGTTATATTATCAGATAGATTATAATAATATAATGTTCTATTATTAGATAGTTAGATTATAATGTTATGAGATAATTAGATTATAATGGTATATTGTATTATGAGATAGTTAGATTATAATGTTATAGTTACATTGGAAGAAGCAGGTTTCCTCTACACTCTCACAAATCCCTGAATCCCCTTGAAGCTGCCATGCTTTCCTCCCAGAATGCACCGCGTCTGACAGCCAGTTCTTCCTGTAACTACAAGCTCGAGTCTCAGCCAATCACAGAGCCGTTACTACGGGCCAATACGCGCAGCGTACTCTGAGAGTCCCTCTCTGATTGGAAAGCCTTGCTAGTGGCGCAGTGATTGGTCTAGAACAGGAGCGGTCAAATTGGGCTGTAAAACTACAGCTCCCTTCATGCTTTGCCAAGTTAAACCTTGTAAAGTGTCATGGGAGTTGTAGTTTTATGAGGTTCTTGTCTTTTCCTAATCCTTGTTTTTTTTGTTTTGTTTTTATATAATATTCTCATTTTGGTTCCCTAATGGAAGGATGTGTGTGCCCTGGATTCAGTGTGGTTTTCATACAGTACCTTAGTGTCCTATGTACATAGCCACCAGCAATATAACAATAATAAACAACTTTTAATTATGGGAAAATGTTATTATACAGTGATCATTACTGATACATTGCCAACACCACATAATATGATTAACAAATTAAAAAATCATGTGAGTGAATTCATAGCAGACAGGACCCACTCAAGGTGAACATGTATAAATTATAAGGGTGCCTGTTGGGACAATAAGTTATACACTATATAAATACAGCACATTCCATTCTAAACTTGCATTAAAGTTTATACATTTTTAAAATCAAATATCTTTTTTTTTTTTTTTATGTTGATTTAGCCACAAAATATGGTCATACAGCGCATAAGCCTGCCATTGCTTTGAAGTCCCTAATTTTGGCGTGTCCTATCCTCATTATTGTAATAGTCTGGTTAATCCGCTTCTGCCACAGTCACATACACCTTGCAGTTAAATGTAATTCCAGTGTGTGCTAATAAGATGATACTGCGCTTTGAATTCAAAGTGCTGGCAGAACATGCTCCGTGTTACTGTATGACCAGCTCTCAGCTGATCCAGACTAACCGTCAGTCACTATCAGCAAGGCTAACAGCCACCATCAGACTAACAGCCCTACCCACCAAATTAACAGACACTATCAGGCAAACTAACCGCCACTATTAACCAGACCAACTGGCACTATCAACCAGAATAACAGCCACTATCAGCATGACTACAGGTTAAAGAACAGAGGACATATTATAAAATACAGTTTTAAATTGTATTCAGCGACTTAAAATCACCTAGCTCAGCAAACAAATATGGGGATTCAGTTCCACTCTATGGCCATATTGTGTTAAGCTCACCACAGCTTCACAGTACCCCAATATCGGTGGGTCCTATGCTAATTCCAATGTGGGGGACAACAAGTGCTGTTCCTTAATCTGTATTCTGTATAGATTTTGGTCTCTATGGCAGCACCATTGCTGAGAAATGCATGTTCTGGTTGTGCCCCCTTCCACACACAATTCCATTTTTTTCTTTACTGTCAACCAGACTAACAGCCACAACCAGACTAACAGCCACAATCAGGTTAACAGCCACAATCAGCTTACAGCCACTATAAGCCAAACTTGCCACGATATCAGCCAAACTAGCCAGCACTATCAGCCAGACTAGCCAGCACTAGCAGCCAGAGTAACCACGATAACAGCCAAACTAGCCATGATAACAGCCAGACTAGCCAGCACTATCAGCCAGACTAGCCACGATAACAGCCAAACTAGCCATGATAACAGCCAAACTAGCCAGCACTATCAGCCAGACTAGCCAGCACTATCAGCCAAACTAGCCACGATATCAGCCAAACTAACCAGCACTATCAGCCAGACTAGCCAGCACTATCAGCCAAACTAGCCACAATATCAGCCAAACTAGCCAGCACTATCAGCCAAACTAGCCACGATATCAGCCAAACTAGCCACAATATTAGCCAAACTAGCCAGCACTATCAGCCAAACTAGCCAGCACTATCAGCCAAACTAGCCACGATATCAGCCAAACTAGCCACGATATCAGCCAAACTAGCCAGCACTATCAGCCAGACTAGCCAGTACTATCAGCCAGACTAGCCAGTACTATCAGCCAGAGTAACTGCCACTATCAGCCAGACTAACTGCCACTGTTCCGGAGAATAACTGCCTCTGTCGACCAGGAGCGATGTGACTGCGGCCTGTAACCCTGAGGTTAGAAACACAGATGGGGTGGGTGACAGTAGCTTGTGTTCAGTAGCAGGGAAGCTAGAGATTGTAGATATTGTAAATGGGGAGATGTGGCTGTTTTTATTGTCCCCTTTTTCTAGTTGCACTTAAGCAATGCATTATAATTGGAGAATAATTTTATGTTTCTTTAAATACACATTTACATGCATACATGCAATTATATAAATGGCTCGGCAGTTATAGTACAAGCTCCATCCACTGGACCACCAGGGCCAAAAGCTGGGCGAGGCAGGGTAGATCACATAGTTCCCAGCACCTCTGACAGCTAGCATTCTTACTGCACCCCCCCACTCCCCACCAAAAAATAAATAAGAAGGAAGGAATGCAACATTTATTTAATATATATATATATATTGAAATTAGCAGGTTTCCCACACACAACTTACAACTTACATAGAGCCTCCCCATACACTTACCACACAACCCCCTCTAAACACTCACCATACAGCCTCCCCATACATTCAACACACAGCCTCCACATTCACTCAACACACATAACCCAACTCTTTTGTTTGGTCTATTGTCTAAAATCTGAACACATCACCAGCGCACAACACACACAGCTTCAAGATACACACAAATCATAGCTCACACACTGAGTCTCCATACACAACTTACAGCCCACGCACAACACACAAAGTCTCTTCACACTCACACACGCATCACAGTCCAAACATAACACACAGCCACCCAGCACACAACACCCAGCCATACACAATGCATACACAGCCTCTCACACACAGCACACCCACAGGCGCAACAAAACAGAAACCAAAAGAGAAATAGCAGGAAAGAGAAAACAAGACAAGAGAGACATGTCCAGCGTGAGTCAGACCGAAAGACACTTAAAAATAGAGTGAGAGAAATAATAAAGAGAAAGAATCAGAGGGGGAGGAGGCGAAAAAGATTAGATACAAGACCGAAGGGGCCTGTGGAATATACAAGATTGAGGAAAGCTGCTAATGGCGTCTAGAGGGGTGCTAATGATTTTCCCAGCTGTGCTTATACAGTATTGTGGTGACTGGGAAATTAACTCTAACATCCAACCCACTTCAGAATATAAACAGCACTTCCTTCCCAAGCCACCACCCGGCAAGCATGTCTCTACTAGTGTTTTGTTAGTTTTTTTTTTTTGTTTTTTTTTTATTGTTTTATGGCCTGGAGCCATGGAACTATCATGGGGCAGCTCCACCATCCCCTATGTTAATCTGCCCCTGAATAAAGCCAATTCCTTATTAAATACCCCAGAGTTCTGGGTAATAATTGTATCATTCCAACACATTTCCTTAGCTAAAAAATATGTATTATATTGTTTGAAGAATATCTGTGTTTGAGAATTGCTATGTGGATTTAAATTGTAAACCTTTTAGACTTTTACCACTGTAATGGAATTCTTTAAAATGACTAAATCCTCTCTCCAAGATTTCGTGATGTTTGTACAGTACATTATAGACAACACGAGTACTAAAATAACATAGAGCATAAACCTACATGGCAACATTAGGAAACATTTTGCTGTTGAATTTTGAGTCATCTTGAGTGGACGCTGTTGGTATTTAGTTTTTATAAACATCCTCTATGTAAACATTTGTAAGGATCTTCCCATTAACCTCTGTGTACTTTATCCTGAGACGTCAAAAATAGTTTCTGAAAACTTAATCTGTGTCTAGGATCAAGGACGTTTCATAAGTTTCTGGTTCCTGAAAAAACTACATTTGGTCTATTGTCTAAAATTCAATAAATAAGGGTCACGTTTTAAAGTATTCCATTGTTTGTTTAGTATAGATTTAATCTTGTAATAAACAATGGATTTTCATTTTTCATTCTGTTTTAGTTTTGTTTTTTTTCCGATCATTTGGCTTGTAAGTGCCTGCTATTGAATTATTCCACAGGAAATCCATAATGTGATTTTGGTTATATTAATTATCTTCAATTTTAACAATGTTTGCTTTCCAGTGTAATCCATGCTTATGTGACTGTTGTCATTTCTTCAAAACCTGTTTTTTTTCATTATGCATTATGTATTTCATAGTTCTTATGAAAAAGGACACTTTAAGCTCCATAACCACAATTCACTATAGTGGTTATGTTGGCCAGAGGTCCCTGGTACAGTCACACAGTTATGTGTCAAATCATTTTTAAATTGTTTGATACTTACCTGGGTCCCTTGGGCACCAGCAGTTAGCCCATCTTCATAGATATCACTAAATTGTAAGTTACTATTTCTACGTTAGTTTAACAATTCCAGCCTTCTTTAGACAGAATTCAATGGTCGTGTGTGTAAGCTGATCCTACTCAGCCAATGAATTATGTACAAAGTTGGACAAAATTGATATACTAAATCAGAAAGGTAACATTGGGAAGAAAGTCTGGATTGTGGGCACCATTGGACCCAGGTAAGTGTCAAACTGTTTGAAAATCACAGGACGGTGCCAGAGGTCTCCCAGTACCATAACCACTACAGTGCACCATAGAATATTTACATTGACTGTTATGCCCATGCAAATGCTGTTTTAGAATAATCATTAAACATAGCCAAAGGCAAACATGACATATATCACAGTGACTTTCAGCATGATGAGGATTTAGCAGAAGATATGTTCAATGAAAAAAATAGACATTTATTCTCTTTAAACTCTCCAATATTTCCACTGACCAAAAGGGACTCTTGCAGGAATGAACTATACCAGAACATTTTAGGTGACTTGAACAGATAGCTATTTATGTAACCAAGAAGTATAATAAACAACACAGTTTTAATTACACTATTTAATGTCAAAACATTTTCACTATAATTAAAAGATAAGCTACTCTGTGTTTTATTACTATGAGACTAATGACACCAAGATTACTTAGGTGATATCACACAGGTACAATATGAATTGCACTTAGAGCCATGCAGCACATTGAAGCCTTCAACCACAGAATGCTGAATCCATAAGTATTTTTAAGGTTCCTTACAGTCATATTTCTTCAGGATCCTGAAATACGGGTCCAACATTCCTCAATAGTGTATAATCATCACCCTAGGAAAGACAGCCTATCGGTTTTTATTGTTATACATTTTACAGCTGTTTTATATCATGTCCTTCTAGATCTTCTCATTTGATGTTATCGGAACTTCATGCAAGATCTGATGCAATGTTATTGATTTCATCACAGAATGAGCCGTGGAAAGGACTTCTGACCTGGAAGCGAGATGAGAAGCTTAGAAACAAGGCTATGTTTTCTGTATGGTAATTAAACTAAGAATAATATTTTATAAAAAGGAATCATTTAGCACACAGTCTATGGGAGTTGCTTTTAAAGGAACACTTGAAGCTAAATGTGATGTTATGTTGCTTTGAGTCCTGTGGCGTCATCTCATAGTTTAAATATAAAACTGAATTTAAAAAAAGAGGTAAAAGTCTGATAAGATGCAAACAAGTCAGATACCAATGTGTGTAATGTTACATGCTCTAACAAACATATCCTGCCCTTCTGTAAATCACATGGCACGAGTGTTGTGAATTGGCTTTTGCATAAGCCTATAGTGTCATACTACCGCATTCCTAACAGTGCAAAAATAAAGAATTTTAAAAAATAAAAAATATATTAAACTGATTAGGAACAGTTTATATAAACTGGGGCTCTTCATGGCCAGTTCTGGAGATGGGTTAGAGTAAATTACATTTCAAACTCTTCTTAAATGGTTGAAACCAGAAAAAACCTCTATAACAGAGGGAATGTGTTACCAAAAACGGTGCTAAAGTGCCACAACAACAACATAACAGCTGCTCTACACTTCTGTGTGGGATACCCGCTTTCCCACACACCACGAGAATGAAGTACTTTTTAAGAGATATAGGATATTCCTATATCTACAGTGGAGCGTTAAAAGTGAATACATAAAAACAGGGGGGGGTGAGGGGGGGGGCAGGGACTTACCCCGTCTACATATAAGTTCTACAGAAGGTAATATCTAGTGCATACAGAACAGAACAAACAGGAGGAACTAGATATAGTACAGATGGTATTGGATCACAATAATGTAAAGTGCTTTGAGATTGGGTCACTCACATGTAATGGAGCCTATATAAATGGGCTCCGTATATAGGGCGGCTGTGCTTTTAGGGCGGCACCATACCACTTCCTTAAGGATATTCCCTCCAGTGAAAATAAAAGAAAAAAGTATCCAATGTGTAGTAAGTCCAATATAAAAACTGTAAGATATTTGTAAGATATATTGCTCACCTTTTAAAGAGCCTTACAATCCCAGCTCTAGGGTATACAGGTGTGATGCCAATATATAGGGGATGGCACTTTCCCAATGAAGAGGCTCCAAAAGGACTCTTAAAAATACTAGTATATTTAGTAACAATAATAAAAAGCACAATCTAAAAACATGTAAATCTGTATATAAAATGTATTAAAAAGGCTCCTTATAGCAGCCAAACCACGTTTCACTCTTTTCCAGAGCTTCTTCACAGCTGACTGAAGAAGCGCTGGAAAAGAGCAAAACGGGTTTTGGTTGCTATAAGGACTTTATCCAATGTTCAAACATAGGGCAGCATTATAAGGGGTTATGTGCATATGCTCCACTCGCAGACTGCAAGTATAGGTTGTTTGCTCTAGAACAACTAGATTAAGATGTAGTGGTTCTGGTGTTTAGAGTGTCCCTTAAAGCTGTTGGACAGAGCAAGGAACTATATGCAACCTAAACATTACATTGAGGTTTATGTGGATGAATCAGAACAATGAGTATATGGAGATAAATGAATGTGAAACCTTTTTCAATTCAGATATTCTAGAAAATATTAACTCTTTCTCATTTTCCACAGTTTGTGTGATCTTCCATAGAGCAGAGGTGAGTATGAAATCTGTGGATTTAAACCAGCATCCTGAACCGGGCTCTCCTCTTTCCGACAACGAGTACAAGGAATTCTGGGAGCTTTTCAACCCCGACTGGAAAGCTGAGGAACTGTGTGAACTTCGACAGAACTTTGGTTGCAATGAACCCAGGGTCCTTCGCATCGACCTTTTTGAGAACCATGGTCATATCCCAAATGGTAAGTTTTCAAATGCTATTACATAGAAAGAGAGAAAGAGAATGACATGAACCATTCTAAATTATCTATATTCTTGAACTTTTAATGTTCAGAAATACAGATGTGCTTAGTAGATTTGATTTATGGCTGTGAATACTGTGGGTATATATCGGTGTGCTCTTTGGAATAGTTATCTGACTGCAGCATATACCATTGGCATTCATCAATATCATCTGTATAATAGAATTCTGCTTTATATAACGTGGGTATATTGTTCTGACAATATACACTGTGTATACGTTTTAGGAATGATTTGCACAGAGTTGGACACAATCCCACCCTTTGATTCGTTCTGCAGTTTTGCCAAGTTTCGATGCTCTCACAGACAATTCTTTCTGAAGGTAAAAGCATCTAACGACATGATAGAGAGGTTACTTTTATTGATAAAAGTCAAACACGTGGAATGGGAATCACTGGAAAAGGTTTTGTGATAGTGTAACTGGCAGGTTAGAGAATGTTGCCAAATGCAAATGGAGATCCTCAGGGCTATTCACTATAGTAAAAATTGTTGGTAGTTCAAGGTGAATTTCAAATGTAAAGCTAATGTAGCATAACTGAAAGCATAATTAACCTGGAGATTTTTTATAATTTTGGCCTTAAATTTGAAAATCACTTTGAATCAGTGTTAATTTTGTCGACTTACAATTTTGGTCAAATTTTAGTTATCTCTAATTTTTTAGATTTAGTCGACTAAAACTAGACTTAAACAAAAACAATTCAAATGAGTAAAATACGACTAAAACTAAAAAAATTTTAGTCAAAAAACTATGACTAAAGCTGAATTGAAGTTTGCCACCAAAATTAAAACTGCACAGAGGGGTCTTTGGAAGGGGTAAAAGAGACAGACCAGGGCTTGGGAGAGAGACACCTAGAGGGGCAGAAAGGACACAAAGAGACACAAAGAGGCTGGGAAAGGGGCAAAAGCGACAGACCAGGACTTGGGAGAGAGAAACCTAGAGGGGCTGAGAGAACACAAAGAGACACAGAGAGGCTGGGGAAGGGGCAAAAGAGACAGACCAGGGCTTGGGAGAAAGACACCTAGAGGGGCTGAGAGGACACAAAGAGACACAGAGTGGCTGCTGAAGGGGCACAAGAGACAGATAGAGGCTTTAACTAAACCCGTTAGACCTTGGTCATATCGGCTAAAATCTACTGGAGATTTATTAGAGTAAAACAATTCAGATGATTAAAATAGGCCTAAAACTAAAATGGCTTTTTAGTCAAAAGACTATGACTAAAACTAAATTGAAATTTGCAGCCGAAATTAACCCTGCTTTGAATTCTTGACAATTCTCACAGTAGTGAATAACTCAGTAAGCGAAAGAAGGCGCAAAAGTTAATTGTGGCGGATATAACGGAGGACAAATCACAAATGGAATCTCAGAGAAAGGAGATCTAGCGTAAATTGTAGCTGAGGGGACATAGACACAATGGCGAGTTAGTGGATAGATACCGAGAAGTGGGGTAAGCAGGTGAGAGAATTTAGATACATAGAAAATGGCAAGTGACAGAATGGAGAAGTGATTACATATGATATGATACAATACAATACAGGAGTATACTGTAGGTCTAGCATTACAAGGATAATAAATTGTGTGTAAACTATGTTTGAGAGAAATGGATTACAAGATAGCTGAGAGTACAGAGAAATGGGGTAAATAATTTAAATTGGGGCTTAAATAATGGAAATGCAGGGTAATGGCTGATGTGGTGTAAATGGAAAATAAAAACTCTAGATAATTGGAGGCTATAAGAGAGACATGCAAAGATATTGTAAGTTATAGGGTATTGTAGACCTTAGTTACAGAGTTATAACTGTTAAAAGAACAGAGACACAAAATAAATTATCTGTATGATAACATAGTTGAGCATTTTGGAGAATGGTGGTTGTGAGAGTCATTGTGTAAAACATGGATGACAAGACAAGACGTAAATGAATGGTGAGAGGATAGAGCAATAATTGGTGGGGGCTGAAATTTGTTATTTTTGTTTTAGAAGATAATGCACCTAATGTCAGCTCCCCTTATGCCAGCTATGATTCATAGAGGATCAGATGTCATACATGGGCTAAATACCCTTTTTATTTCCCTCCTATATCATAATATCCCACTTGTTGCCCCATCCCTTTTATTTTGCAGAGGATCCCATGCCAAGAGTCTCAGACCTATAAAGAGTTTCATGCTTTGACCCCTGGAGGTAAATATTTTGTAAAACTCTGTGAAGTTTTAGCCAGTGACTTGCAGTTTACCACAATAATATTACAAGTTATTTATTATTCATTTTGCTATCAGCATGCCCTGACTTTTGTCCTTGTAAACTGTCTGTCCTGACTTTAGCCCGTCGCTATAAATCTCCCTTGATCCCACATTCGCTTGGACTCTCCCGCGATCTCACCCTCGCACTAACCCTTCCTGATTGCGCTCTAATCCTCCCCTTATCTTACATTCACTCTAATCCTTCACTGATCTCACCTTTACTCTATCCCTCCCTTGATCTCACCCTCGCTCCCCTGATCTCACCCTCACTCCAATCCTCCCTGATCTCACCCTCGCTCTAACCCACCCCTGATCTCATCCTCGCTCTGACCCTCCCCTGATCTCACCCCGCTCTGACCCTCCCCTGAACTCACCCTTGTTCTAATTCTCCCTGATCTCACCCTCGCTCTTACTCTGCCCTGATCTCACCCTCACTCTAATTCTCCCTGATCTCACCCTCGCTCTTACCCTCCCCTGATTTTTCCCTCACTCTAATCCTTCCTGATCTCACCCTCGTTCTAACTCTCCCTGATCTCACCCTTGCTCTGACCCTCCCCTGATGTCACCCTCAATCTGAATCTCCCTGATCTCACCCTCGCTCTTACCCTTCATGATCTAACCCTTGCTCTAACCCTCCCCTGATCTTGATCTAACCCTTCTTGATCTCACCCTCACTTTGAACCTCCAATGATCTCACTATCACTATAACCTCCCTGATCTCGCCGTAACCCTTCCCTGATCTCACTTTCGCTCTAATCCTTCCCTGATCTCACCCTCACTCTGACCCTCCCCTGATCTCACACTTGCTCTGACTCTCCCCTGACACCCATGCTGCTATAAGCCTGCCCTAACTCTCAGATTTTCTTTAAGCATGCCCTGATTTCTACCTTTGCTAGTGTCAGTAATTTTTGCTTTTATTGGGAGTTATGATTATATCAAAACATCATTCTTAGCCCATGTAGATCACTTGAGGGGACCATGGGTTTCATAAACCGGGACTGTGAAGTGAAAGCACAACACAAGCTACATACCCTGTGGGTAGGTACAGCCCATGTTAATATAATCATGGTAGGTTAGTAACAGACAGCATACATAGAGGTAGATACAGCCTCTAGTAATATAATTACAGTTAGAAACAGACAGCATACACTGAGGTAGATGCGGCCTGTATTAATACAATCACGGTCAGTTAGTAACAGACAGTCTGCACTGGGGGTAGATACAACCTATATTAATATATTTTGGTCAGGTAGTAAGAGGCAGCATACACTGGAGTTGGTGAAGCCTGCATTATATCAGATAATACAGTAATTTCCCTCTTAGTATTAAAGGACCACGATAGTGCCAGGAAAACATACTCGTTTTCCTGGCACTATAGTGCCTTGAGGGTGCCCCCACCCTCAGGGACCCCCTCCCGCCCGGCTCTGGAAGGGGGAAAGGGGGAAAAACTTACCTTTTTCCAGCGCTGGGCGGGGAGCTCTCCTCCTCCCCGTCGGCTGAATGTGCACGCGCGGCAAGAGCTGCGTGCGCATTCAGCCGGTCACATAGGAAAGCATTTACAATGCTTTCCTATGGACGCTGGCGTGCTCTCACTGTGAAAATCACAGTGAGAAGCACGCAAGCGCCTCTAGCGGCTATCAATGAGACAGCCGCTAGAGGAAATAGGGGAAGGCTTAACCCATTCATAAACATAGCAGTTTCTCTGAAACTGCTATGTTTATGAAAAAATGGGTAAGCCCTAGCTGGACCTGGCACCCAGACCACTTCATTAAGCTGAAGTGGTCTGGGTGCCTAGAGTGGTCCTTTAACATAAGTCAAATTTGGGATCCCCTTCCTGAATGCACCACACCAGAAACAGTAATGCTTTGGACAAAATGATTCTGTTCGTTAATGTATTTATGGTGGAATTCCAGAGTTTGTGTTGACCATGACACAGAATAGCTTAGCACTGTAGATGTAGAGATTTGTTTGCCTAATATCTTTCCATCTGTTTGTAACTCCAGCTTCTGTCTCCATCAGCAAAGTCATATGTTATCGATGAAGAAGGTCACATTCACGCTCATATTGTCAAACTGATCCAGCTCAGTATTAAATTGAGTGGCGAGGATACATTGTTGAAGGACGCCAACAAGGCAGATAGGTTTTTGGCAAAAAGATCAGTATCAAAGTATCCTTCCAGTTGGCCAAGTGTCCCTCAAAGTACCTTTTACAAGGACCAGCAGCGAAAGAGTCTCCTGGCATCATTAAAAGTTATCAACCTTATAAAGAAACCAAAATACTAACTTCAGTGAAGGGCACATCACTACTGTCAAGAGCCCTTATCTTGTGGGTAAGTAATAGTAGATACATTCATTCAACATTGTTCTATATCACAATGAGATATCTGAAGCTGCACTCTATCAGAATGATGTTTAATGAGATAGCAGAATGTCTTGCATGACTGCACGCTATGTGAATATCGGAGTCTCTCCGTGGCTGCGCTTTATTGAAAAAAAGTCTGTCTGAGGATGTATTCTAACAGAATGACACTAACCAAGACTGTACTCTTACAGAATGACACTATCCGGGGCTGTACTCTAACAAAGTGACACTACAGCTGTAATCAAAATTATTAAAACCCCACTGAAAATCAGGTTTATTGTCACAATTTACAGACTTTTAGCTGTCTGCAATTAAAATAAAACAAAAGCAATTGAAATAGATCAACAAACTTCAAGTGGTTTCCCCAAATTCAAAGAAAAATGCAACTTCTATAATGACTTCTCCAGTCTCAAAATTATTCAACCCCCTGAAAAGAATCACTCACAGAAGCACATATAGGCAAAACAGGGCTTCATTAGTTGCACTAGGTATGCTTGAGCTGGAACACTTGAAATACCTGAACTGGCTAGGGGTTTGTTGAGTGTTACGTTTGACTGAATGTTAGAAATATGGCCAAGTCAAAAGAATGGTCCACAAAGTTAAGAGAAGAGATCGTCACCCTTCACAAACATGGAATGGAATAGGATACAAAAAGATAGTGAAGGCACTGAATGTTCCTAGATACACCTTTGAAAGCATAGTTCGCAAGTTGAAGGAACTGTGCTTACATTACCTGGACATGGCAAAACAGGAAGCTATCAATGGCTGCAACCAGATTTCTAAGGCAGGTTGTGAAAAACCCTTCAGTGACCGCAAAAGCCTGAAAATAAATTTCAGTGAGCACAGTAAGGCATGTCCTAAATGCAGAAGGTTTCCATGCCACAATTCCAAAACGTACACCACTACTGAAACGTCTGCTTCAATATGTTCAAAATTATATAAATAAGCCACAGAAGTTTGGGGATTCTGTTTTATGACATGATCAAACAAAACTGGAACTTTTCGGCTCAATGGATCAGCGGTATGTCTGGAGGAAGAAGAATGAAACATACGCTAAAAAGAACACTCTTCCCACACTTAAGCATGGTCGTGGCTCGTGATGCTCTGGCACTTGTTTACATCTTCTGGCAAAGGAAACCTGCAACATGTGGAAAGCAAGATTCATTGAAGTATCAGGAAATCCTAGAAGAAAATGCCATGCCATCTGTGAGGAAGCTGAAGCTTGGGTGTCATTGGACCTTCCATCAAGACAATGATCCCAAGCATACCTCAAATTCCACCAAGGCTTTGATGCAGAAGAAATCGGGAAAATTCACAATCACCTGACTTGAACCCCATAGAAAATCTCTGGTAGGGTTTGAAAAAGGTGGTTGCAGCACATAGACCCAAGAATATTACTGAACTAGAGGCCATTGCTCATCAACAACAAGCTAAGATTCCTCAGGAACACTGTCAGCAGCTGGTGTCTGGCTATGCATTTTGTTTACAGTAGGTCATGAGGGCAAAAGGATGCTCTACTAAGTACTAAAGATGCTTGCCATAAAGGGATTGTATAATTTTGAGACTTGAGAAGTCACTCTATAATAATATCTCTGAGCTTCACACTATCATAATGTCCCTTTTAGGACGTACTGTATCTGTCTAAGGTCACACACTCTCCAAATATCACTGCCCAGAGGTGCTGCTTTAAACCTATTAGAGGACGTTGTGTATCTGTTTACCCCTTCAGGGCTAAGACTCTTTTAAGTAATAAACTACCAGTGTCCATTATGGGAGTATTGTAACAGTCTCTAATAAATTATAGATAAATGTATCCCTAGTGAAAATTCTTGGGAATGCAGATGGCCACATTACTGTATTTAGAGACGCATTGTGCCCATGACCAGGAAAGCTGATCTAATATTCCCCTCTTCAATGAACTAGAAGGCTAAACAGTACAGTCACCTCATCGGAAAAAATATAAATGCATGTTCTGGGCATTTACAATCTCACTCTTGTTATTTAACAGAACTGTGGAATTGTATCTGTGAAGACGTTTTACCTCTCTTGTAGATTAATTCTGTTACCTATTATTTAATACATGTTTATAAATACTAATTTTCATGCAAAATGTAACGTGTGGAGAGACACTTAATATACCCACTACCACAATTAAGGGTGCTATTCCAAAAAGGTACTCCCTCCAATACCAATAAAGTAAATACTCAAAAGAAAGGAATGCACACCATCTGATACAATAGTATCTATCTATATATATTTATTACAATACAAATACAAGCCATACATACAAAATGTAACAATATGACAGTGACCAAATAAGCTAAACAATTATATTTACCAAATTCCACAAGCCTATATGGGCAGAAACACGAGTCACAAACAATCCCCCAACGTTTTGGCTCCTCCTAGTAGCTACCCTTGATAAAGGCTACCAGGAGGAGCCTAAACGTTGGGGGATTGTTTGTAACGCGTGTTTCTGCCCATATAGGCTTGTGGAATTTGGTAAATATAATTGTTTAGCCTATTTGGTCACTGTCATATTGTTACATTTTGTATGTATGGCTTGTATTTGTATTGTAATAAATATATATAGATAGATACTATTGTATCAGATGGTGTGCATTCCTTTCTTTTGAGTATAAATACTAATTTGACAGCTAGTATATAGGGAAATGGCAGCCTATGTTCTAGGTAACCTGTGACATATTGTGTGGAAGCAGTGTGGGAGAGGTAATGCTCTGCAGTGCGACTTTCACACTGAAAGGGGGCTACAGGCAGTACCGTTATAAGGGGTCCGGTCCATGTCAGGGGCCCCACATGGGGCCTTGTAATGCTTAGTGATGGTTGAGGATATAATTATGTGTTCCTTTGAGATGCATATCCACCTAGCAAAAGTGAGTGGGTATATAGCAGCCTCCCAGACAGACCGTTTCCTCTAAGAAAAGTTTGTGCTGAGCTCACACGCAGGACACTAGTTCTTAGCCAATAAGGTGATCAAAACCAACATGCTCAGACCTCAGATTTAAAATGGCAACGTTTCTGGAGGACACCATCTCGGTGTCTGCCACTGATTTGATGGATGCCTCTCCTAAAGGCAACCTCCTAAACGTTAAAAGGCTCCATAAGGTAGCCTTTCTTGCCACCAATCAGTCCTCCTCTTCTTCTGAAGAGGTGGTCCAAGTTAGAGAGAAAAAAACTTAATAAATGTTTCCACTCCTCTTCTGAATCTTCTAAAGAAAATCTTCCAGTTTCTTCATCCCCTCCAGCTTATATAAGCAAAAAGTCAGTTGAAGGGACAGGGACACAATAAAAATAAGAGCTTGTTTCGCTAGTTTGAATAGGAAAATCAAACTTCCATTAGAAACATTAGAAATAAGACTCGGAGCCAAAGTAGTCCCTCATCTGAGTATTCTAGCTTCTTTTGAGAGAGGGAAGATAAGCAGTTTACAAATGGCCAGAGTTAATTTATTGAACAAGAATCTTCCTTTAAAGCTTTTTAACCCTAGATGGGCCCTAAATTCCGACTCTAAGGTTAGAGATTTTGCTAAGCTGGCCTTTAGAGCTCCTTTGGTAAAGGAGGATGATTTACTTCTGAGAAATGATATTGATATCCTGGATATACAGACAATGTTAATTCCTGAAGTGGTCCCGGCTTTGCTTTCCATTACTGGTAATAATGTTTCTACTGATTCAGTGGACCAGATTTTGCATAATGTCCAACTCAAAATTGCAGACACAATGTGTCCGCTGCTTTTGATGCTTGATAAAGGAGAGAAAGAAAAGGAACTACAGAATACATTTATTTCAGTCCTTATGACCTTTAATTAGCGTTACTGAAGGCTTCAAGCATGGCTGTTTTAATTATTGGAGAGACCTTCAATTACATCACCAACATTAGAAGAACTCGATGGATTCAGGCTGCGGGCATGTTTGACTTACCTCCAAAGACACATGAATTTCCTAATTTGAAAGACTCTCATTTATATATAAGGTGAAAAAGACGTTATAAAGCAAGGCAATCATTTGCATAGCTTAAAGGATCACTATAGGGTCAGGAAAACAAACATGTATTCCTGACCCTATAGTGTTAAATCCACCATCTAGCCCCACTGGGTCCCTCATGCCTCCATAAATATATCTTACTGTATTCAAGCTCGAAGCTCCCGGCTCTGCCCTGTCTGCCTCAGAAAAACAAGCTGTCTGCTGACATCAGCAGAAGTGGTGGCCTGATCCAATCACAGTGCTTCCCCATAGGACTGGCTGAGACTGACAAAGAGGCAGATCAGGGGCAGAGCCAGCATGATTCAAACACAGCCCTGGCCAATCAGCATCTCCTCATAGAGATGAATGGAATCAATTAATCTCTATGAGGAAAGTCCAGTGTCTGCATGCAGAGGGAGGAGACACTAAATGTTTGGATGCATTTTAGGCAGCCATGACCCAGGAAGGATCTCTAACAGCCATCTGAGGAGTGGCCAGTGAAATTATCACTAGGCTGTAATGTAAACACTGCATTTTCTCTGAAAAGACAATGTTTACAGCAAAAAGCCTGAATGAACTGATTATATTCACCAGAACAAATACAATAAGCTGTAGTTGTTCTGGTGACTATAGTGTCCCTTTAAAAAGATTTTTTTCTGGATCCAGATGGTCCTTTCGGTCCGAGGGTCATTTCTACTGGGCTGCAGAAATATCCCGTGATTTATCCCACCAGGCCAATATGGCCACCAAGCAGAAAGAAATTTAGTCCAGGAGAGAGTAAACCTTCCAATTCAAGTAATCATTCCAGGTTTACTCTGAAGAAACATCATCACAGACAAGAATTTTACAAAAAGGTTTACAACTTCCTCTTTTGAGATTTCCAATAAAGTGTCACCCAGTTATATGAGAGGTGAACAGAGTTTTAAATTATTCTCTTTACCAAGCCTTAGCTCGGGGAAAAATATAATTAGCAGACCTGCCAGTTTTCAATGTGTGTGTGTCTGTCAAAGTGTGTGTTTGTCAGTGAGTGTGTATGTGTATGAGGAATTCGTATTTTAACTAAATCGGGCTACATTAAAAAAAACTCCTAAGGACCAATATATAGGCAGAAATTATACCACATACCTCCATAAACAATTTACCACTAATAGATGAGTACAAACAAGAAGTAAAATATTATAAAAATGAAAATAAATTGCATAAAAAGGATATAAAGCACATCAAAATGTCACAATGTATGCCTAAACTCTATGGAAAGAAAAGGAACCTTAAAACCTAAAAACTTTATCATACATACTAGATATAATGTTTACTAAATAAAATGCATAATATTATATACTATTATGTTCCATGTTACTCTTAAAGGGAGGCAAAAAAACTTTACACCTTGATCATGCTCCATTAGAACTTGATTTGGTCCATTATTATTCTGATCAAGGCTTATGCCTGGTTCACTCCCTTCAGTCATATCTCAAGTTATCAGCTTAGTGTAGGTAGATTATTTCCAAGCCCTTTATCACGTACAGGAATCCTCATCAGCATGTGAAGGTAAAATTAACTCTGTTCGAGGATGAATTCTCTGTGCCATGAGTTCTGCAGAAATTGAAACATCTATTTTTGGGGGTCATTCTATTAGGCGCTCCTACCTCCAAAGCAGCGACGAGGGGTCTTTCTCTTCCTATAATTTTAAAGGCTGCTCGGTGGTCTTCTTGTAAAACCTTTATTAAGTTCTGTTGGAGGCATTCTGAAGTAGATCAGTATCTCAGGTCTACCACCAGGTGTGTGCTATTCTACCCACTATCCTTTGCTAGGTGGGTATGCATCACAGAGGGACAAAGCAGAGCTTGTAGGAATCTATGACCGACAAACTTTCTTTGTCCTTGGGATAGGCATAACCACCTAATAAGTGTGCACATTCCTCCATGTGCATTGAAATTTTGCCTAGTGGTGACTTCTGAAAGATATATATAATTTGTTTTATAGAGATATGTATAAATATATATATTTTTTCAACAGGCTATGTGTTATGAAATTAATTCACTTTTTTTCCTTTTTGTTTGTTTCCAGATTACAATCGATCAAACATCTAAGATCCTCCTAAATAATATCATTGGAGGTTAAGAACAGATTTCCAATCATTAACATTTTCTGGTTTGATCTTTTATCTGCATAAATAAATAAAATAAATAATAACTTAGTAAATGTCTGATGATTACTTATTTTTCTCTGTTATAGGTAGATCTTACTTTTATTGTTTTTTGCTTCTGTTAACTCGCTATACAGTTGACTATATTGAATATATCTATTTAACCCCTTAAGGACACATGACGTGTGTGACATGTCATGATTCCATTTTATTCCAGAAGTTTGGTCCTTAAGGGGTTAAAGAGACCCTGTAGTCACCAAAACAACTTTATTAATGCAGCAGTTTTGGTGTATAGAGAATTCCTCAGAAGTACCGCTGCTCAATTCTCTGCCATTTAGGAGTTAAAGGATCTCTATAGGATCAGGAACACAAACATGTATTCCTGAGCCTATAGTGTTAACACCACCATCTAGTCCCCCTGGCCCCCTCATGCCCCCATAAATATAGTAAAAATCTTACTGTATTCAAACCTGAAGACGTAACTCTGCATGCTGTTAGCCTCAGAAAAACAAGCAGTCTGCTGACATGTGGTAGCCTGATCCAACCAAAGTGCTTCCCCATAGAATTTTCTGAGATTGACAAAGAGGCAGATCAGGGGCAGAGCCAGCATGATTTAAACACAGCCCTGGGGGGTGGAGCCTGGCATCTAGACTGAGCGGTTGTGCTGAACCTCAGCTCCCGCTTTATTCCGCATTTTCTGGGGGTAATGCCCCTAAAAACCGGTGCAGCCACACACTGGAGGAAGGCTACCTTGAAGGGGACACCCGGGGGAATCGCCCGATACCTCATACAAGCCTGTAACCCCCCCGGGACCCAACAAGATACCCTGAGGCCTGCCGGAGATCGAGCTGCGGGGAGACGGCCGCTCCCTGGGCTGACTGACCTGGATGTAGTGCCCTCGGGGTTGACCACTTCTACCACCTCCCCCCCTCGGGACCGACGGGGGTCATCTCGGTCCACACCAAACGACGGCTAGGGCAGCGAGAAGCTGAACCAACAACTGGACGAACTGCAACACAAGGGCAGCCGGGCGCGTGGTGCACCCAAAATGGCGGCGGCAAGCACATCAGGCGAGCTGCACTGCAAATCTGAAATGGAGATCCACAGCGAAGATGTGAGGCGCATAGAAGCTGCTTTCGCCCGATTCTGGCACAAGCTAAATAAAAAGCTGCAAACACCTCAAGCGACCCTGCAACCCCTAAAAGGTACGAGTAAACACGACCGTGCCCATGGGGAAAAGAGAAAAATACAGCCACACAAGCAGACAGTTCACAAGGGAGTTGGGAACGAAGGGAAGAGGAGCCCCACTCTGGGCACAGCAACTGACCCCAAACCAGCAATGCAAGCACAATGCCCGCCGAGGCCGAGGGCCGTGAGGAAATCACCTCCGCAGCATCAACCACCCTGCAGGGGGACTGCCCGCCGCAGGCGTCGAAGATACACCGGCTCCACCTGCACCGGTCAAGGGAATGCCTCGATCTCTCAGAGCTCTCGAGTCAGTGGTCCGAAGATGCCACCCTCCATAAAGGCCTGAGGCTGGAGGGGGACCTCAACCCACAACTACTGCACCGACTCCACATGCCTTCCTACCCCTGACAACAACTGGCCACGAACAGGCATGGGATGAAAGGGACTGAAAGAACTCTTTAACCTTTTCCCCTCACTCTAATTCACTGCTTAACTTTCGCCTACACGTTTGACTGCTATTGGTAATGATTTATTGTTATGCTTAATATGTCACACAGCCCCCACACACTGCAGACTGCTCTCCTACATTTGCTATGTCTCCCTAACCTGATTTTGAATATGCTCAAACAGATATTTATTTGCTGGAGCCTGGACGTTAGCCAGTCTGCTCATATACCACTGCACGTATAGCAGATAGCAGTGGGGGATGCCCGGGGATATAGGCACGACAGTATTTGCAAGCAGTTAATCACTTATTAGTTTAGCATGTTCTTATTATTTGAGTTAATTTTACACAACAGGGAACTACTGAGCCTGCGAAATCACCCTATACAAAACTTGCTCACTTAACCTATTACAATTAGTCAATGTTAAGCGACTTAAATTGCATATTGCCTAAACCTGTTTACAAAAGCAACATTAAACCATAAAACATAAAAAGAGGTACAAATATTAAGGAAATGTTAGATACCACTGTTATTGAGCCCTGTACTGTATTCTAAATGCACGTTTCCCTCTCTCTATTCTGTATCCCATCTAATATGCCTCAATAAAATACAGATTGACAAAAAAAAAAAACACAGCCCTGGCCAATCAGCATCTCCTCATAGAGATGAATTGAATCAATGAATCTCTATGAGGAAAGTTCAGTGTCTGCATGCAGAGGGAGGAGATACTGAATCACAGGATGCTGTGACAAATAAGTCAATGGGACCTGATGGAATACACCCAAAGCTATTAAAAGAGCTTAGTGGTGTACTAGCAAAACCATTAACAGATTTATTTAACCAATCATTGTTAACAGGAGTAGTCCCAGAAGATTGGAAGTTAGCGAATGTTGTGCCCATTTACAAGAAAGGTAATAGGGAGGAGTCGGGCAACTATAGGCCAGTAAGCCTTACTTCAGTAGTGGGGAAAGTGATGGAAACCATGTTAAAGGATAGGATTGATGAACATCTAAAACACATGGATTTCAAGATCAGAGACAACATGGGTTTACTTCAGGGAGATCATGCCAAACTAATCTTATTGATTTTTTTGATTGGGTAACTAAAATTATAGATCAGGGTGGTGCAGTAGACATTGCTTACCTAGATTTCAGTAAGGCTTTTGACACTGTTGCACATAGAAGGCTTATCAATAAACTGCAATCTTTAAGTTTGGATTCCAATATTGTTGAATGGGTAAGGCAGTGGCTGAGTGACAGGCAACAGAGGGTTGTAGTTAATGGAATATATTTGAAGCTTGGACTTGTCACCGGTGGGGTACCTCAGGGATCTGTACTTGGACCCATTCTCTTTAATATTTTTATTAGTGATATTGCAGAAGGTCTTGATGGTAAGGTATGTCTTTTTGCTGATGATACTAAGATATGTAACAGGGTTGATGTTCCAGGAGGGATAAACCAAATGGCAAATGATTTAGGTAAACTAGAAAAATGGTCAGAATTGTGGCAACTGACATTTAATGTGGATAAGTGCAAGATAATGCATCTTGGACGTAAAAACCCAAGGGCAGAGTACAGAATATTTGATAGAGTCCTAACCTCAACATATGAGGAAAGGGATTTAGGGGTGATTATTTCTGATGACTTAAAGGTAGGCAGACAATGTAATAGAGCAGCAGGAAATGCTAGCAGAATGCTTGGTTGTATAGGGAGAGGTATTAGCAGTAGAAAGAGGGAAGTGCTCATGCCATTGTACAGAACACTGGTGAGACCTCACTTGGAGTATTGTACACAGTACTGGAGACCGTATCTTCAGAAGGATATTGATACCTTAGAGAGGGTTCAGAGAAGGGCTACTAAACTGGTTCATGGATTGCGGGATAAAACTTACCAGGAAAGGTTAAAGGATCTTAACATGTATAGCTTGGAGGAAAGACGAGACAGGGGGGATATGATAGAAACATTTAAATATATAAAGGGAATCAACACAGTAAAGGAGGAGACTATATTTAAAAGAAGAAAAACTACCACAACAAGAGGACATAGTCTTAAATTAGAGGGACAAAGGTTTAAAAATAATATCAGGAAGTATTACTTTACTGAGAGGGTAGTGGATGCATGGAATAGCCTTCCAGCTGAAGTGGTAGAGGTTAACACAGTAAAGGAGTATAAGCATGCGTGGGATAGGCATAAGGCTATCCTAACTATAAGATAAGGCTAGGGACTAATGAAAGTTTTTAGAAAATTGGGCAGACTAGATGGGCCGAATGGTTCTTATCTGCCGTCACATTCTATGTTTCTATGCACAGTGCTGCCCTGTGCTCTGCTGATAGCAGATGAGTGGATGGAGGCATATTATGGTTCCCTCTGGTTCACTCTGAGTGGCTGCAACTGGAGGTGTTCCTAGCTTTCAATGTAAACAATGTTTACATGAGAAAGGCCGCAGGGAGCTATAGTTCTCACCTGAACAACCTCATTAAGCTGAAGTTGTTCAGGTGACTATAGTGTCCCTTTAAAGGGTCACTATAGTGTCGGTTTTCCTGACACTATAGTGCCCTGAGGGTGCCCCCACCCTCAGGGTCCCCCTCCCGTGGCGCTGAAGGAGTTAAAACCCCTTCAGCCACTTACCTTAATCCAGCGCTGGGCTCCCTCGGCGCTGGTGACCTCTCCTCCTCGTCCGACGTCAGCTCCCCCCTCCGAGGTCACTGGAGCCGAATGCGCGGCAAGTGCTGCGCGCGCATTCAAAGTGTTCATAGGAAAGCATTTCTCAATGCTTTCCTATGGATGCTCTGTGCGATAGAGGCGAAATTCGTCTCCAGCGTCGCAGATGTGCCTCTAGTGGCTGTCCGGAAGACAGCCACTAGAGGCTGGATTAACCCCAAATGTAAACATAGCAGTTTCTATGAAACTGTTATGTTTACATGTGAAGGGTTAAAACCTGAGAGACATGGCACCCAGACCACTTCATTGAGCTGAAGTGGTCTGGGTGACTATAGTGTCCCTTTAAATCCTTGTTCAGCACTGACTGCCACAGGCAGAGCCTTTCTGCCTTACTCTTGTTTCCCTGGGAAATGTTTAATCATCATGACAGGCGCACAGTTGGATTTGCCGGCATTTGCACTCACCTTACCCAACCCCAATAGAGACACGAACACAGGTTATATTGTTGGAAGTATTAGTCCACAGCTTTATTAAATTATAAATAAAATAATTAAGGAATAACAAATGGGGTCATTGCCAACAGACCTTATTAAAGTTAACATCCCCCATGTACATAACATTCCCCTAGCAATGACCCCCCAATAATAACAATAGATAACAATCCAAATAACATGTTAATACAGAAACTGGCCGCCCAATATGGCCACGTTTCCACCCGGTTAAATTGTAGGGGTGTACCGAGACACCGCTACCCAACATATCGATTGTAGGGGTGTACCAAGACACCGCTACCCACCTTATCAATTGTAGGGGTGTACCAAGACACCGCTACCCACCATATCCATTGTAGGGGTGTACCAAAACACTATTCCCTACCAGTTCCCGTGTAGGGTGTACCAAGACACCACCACACCCCCAGGTTTGGAGCCACCGACGAGCTCGAACACACCAACCATGCGCAACACTGTCCAATCCACACTAAAACCACAGGATGCCCACTTTCTCCTCCATCTACCCTCTGATTTTACCAGGCCATTCCCCGCCGCTGTGAAAAAACGGGAAATCACCTAACCTAACCAAATTCAGGGAGGGTGGGAGGGACAACTGACAGGTAGGCTTAATTTCTTTTCCAATGGCCACTTCATAAAATGTCTGGTATAAATACACCCCTTATGGGTCCGCCCCACCCAGCATGCTAAGTGACACTAACTTTCTGTGGCTGCTATGCCTACCTCCTGGCTCTGTCAAGGCCTATTCCTCTTAGCTGCGCTGATCCATGGGCTACAGACCCCCCTCCTTCCTCTAGTTTTGGAGGCAAAAGGCTCTCTGTGACTCAGCATTCAGATGCAAAGCAAGCCAGCAGCACCTCGTGGGAAGGCGATTGTTATCAAGGTTTTTCTAAAGTTTAAAGTTGCACCCCTTGGCAAGTGGAGCGAGGTACGCAGTATTCTGTTGTAACCCCCTTTTGGTTATCTCTGTAAACAAATGTATTGTATGTAATTTCACGGTGCTTATGGTTCACGGTGCTCAAGGTGTTAAAGAGATCGTTGATGGTGTTCAACCCTCCTTGTTATTTACTCGCTGACAAAGGGGCCGCTACAGTGAAAACTCGTTGCTGCAGTGGAGACTCGACGCTGCATCTCTGCTATCACCGGCTGCGTCGCTATCTTCATCAAACTGTGAGTAAAGGCTTCCCAACGCCTCGCAGGACAGATGCAGACGCCACCTTGGCAGCAGAAAATTGGCTGAAAAGTAAACGTGTCACGTGGATTTTTAAATATTGCAGGCTGTGATTTTCACAGTGAGAATCACGCAAGCGCCTCTAGCGGCTGTCAATGAGACAGCCACTAGAGGATTTGGGGGAAGGCTTAACCCATTCATAAACACAGCAGTTTCTCTGAAACTGCTATGTTTATAAAAAAAATGGGTTAACCCTAGAAGGACCTGGCACCCAGACCACTTCATTAAGCTGAAGTGGTCTGGGTGCCTAGAGTGGTCCTTTAAGATTGCTGTCATTTATGTGGGGGTCACTGTCTGGGTGTTTAACATTGGAAAGTATTGGGCTTCAATGTCTTTAAGTGTGCTTGACTCTGACCCCCTTCTTTTTACAGTCATGAGAGAACATTTTATACTAATAAAAGCTGTGATATTTTCCCAAAAAATATTGTGTCCGGATTTATTGGGGGGATGGTCTTATGGTGAGTTCATTAGGAATATGCCTAGGAGACAACTATGCTCATGTCAAGGTAATGCTGTGCAGTGTGACTTTCATGCAGTGAGTAACTGTAACTTGTGCGGGTATTATGCAGCAAGAGGACTAAGTGCACTGGAGTGTGGGTATCAAGCAGTAAGCACCCCACAGAGTAGCAGCCATGCACTAAACAGAGGTAAATGTCCTGCCATGCAGGGAAGGGGGTAAATGGCTTGCACTGTTTGTAGGTGCAATGACCTGTAGTGTAGGTAGCAGACAGTGTATATAATGGGTAGGTTATTTCTGTTTTGTTATCCCACAATTAAAAGTGAAAGCTTTGTGGTGTGAGTACCATACCGAGTACCGAGTGGTAAAAGCTCTGAATGTGGGTGTCATGCAGGGACACGGGTAAATGTCTGCAATGTATCATTCAATGAGCGGGTTAAATGCAGTGTAAGTTGCAGTAAATACCACGCAATGCAGGAAATATTCAGTGCTGGGATAAATGCACAAGGTATGAGGCATGCAAAGGGGTGGGGGTCAAAGCACTGGGGTGCAGTTATCATGCAGTAAGGGGGTAAATGCATGCACTGAGGGGGTATTTGCTTGGCAGTGCCGATTTCCTATATTTAGGTATAAATGTCCTGTGGTGCATTAAGCATGCAGTGAAAGTGTAAATGTTCTGCAGTGCATTGAACATACAGTGAAGGTGTAAATGTTATGCAGTGCATTGACCATACAGTGAAAGTGTAATTGTTATGCAGTGCACTGAACATACAGTGAAGGTGTAGATGTTTTGCATTGCATTAAGCATGCAGTGAAGGTGTAGATGTCCTGTAGTGCATTTAACATACAGTGAAGGTGTAGGTGTCTTGCAGTGCATTAAGCATGCAGTGAAGGTGTAAATGTTCTGCAGTGCATTGAACATACAGTGAAACTGTAAATGTTCTGCAGTGTATTGAACATACAGTGAAAGTGTAAATGTCATGCAGTGCATTTAGCATACAAGGAAGGTGTAGATGTTCTGCAGTACACGGAGCATACAATGAAAGTGTTGATGACCTGCAGTAGAGGTAGCTTTCTGTGAGGATGGCATTTGCTATGCAGTGCAGGTGGCATGCTGTGAGGATGTAAAATTAAAGGCCATACAATAAAAGTTCTGTGCAGCGATGGTGTAAATGCCATGCAGTGCAAGTAGTATGCAGTGAGAGGTATAAATACTGTGCAAGATATGTAGCATGCAGTGAGAGATAATTTTGTGCTATGCAGGTAGCATTCATTGAAAGGTTAAATACAGTGCAGGTAACATGCGGTGATATGTGTTAATACAGTGCATCTAGCATGCAGTGAGAGGTGTTAATACAGTACAGCTAGCATGCAGGTATCACACAGTGATATGTGTTAATACAGTGCAGGGAGCATGCAGTGAGATGTGTTAATACACTGCAGGTGGCATGCAGTGAGAGGTGTTAATTCAGTGCAGGTAGCATTCGGTGAGATGTGTTAATACAATGCGGGTAACATGCAGTGAGAGGTGTTAATACAATGCAGGTCGCATGCAGTGAGAGGTGTAAATACAGTGTAGGTCGCATGCAGTGAGAGATGTTAATAAAGTGCATGTAGCATGCAGCGAGATGCGTCAATGCAGTGCAGGTAGTAGCATGCAGTGAGATGTGTTGATGCAGTGCAGGTGGCATGCAGTGAGATGTGTTAATGCAGTGCAGGTAGTAGCATGCAGCGAGGTGTGCTAATGCAGTGCAGGTAGCATGCAGTGAGCTGTTAGTGCAGTGCAGGTTTCTTGCAGCGAGGTGTGTTAATGCGGTGCAGGTGTCATGCAGTGAGAGGTGTTAATGCAGTGCAGGTAGCATGCAGTGAATGTGTTAATGAGCATGCAGTGCGAAATTTTGTTCAGTGCAGGTTGCATGCAGTGAGATATTTCATGCAATGCCAGTAGCATGCAGTGAGATGTGTTAATGCAGTGCAGGTAGTAGCATGCAGTGAGATATTTCGTGCAGTGCAGGTATCATTCAGTGAGATGTGTTAATGCAGTGCAGGTAGCAGCATGAAGTGAGATATTTCGTGCAGTAAAGGTATCATGCAGTGAAAGTGAGAGGTGTAACCTACTTCAATGTCAGAGACCACTCCCTGCTGTGAGAGACACCCAACTCCTTGAGAGATTGCTCTTTATCAGCACTCCCACAGTACAAAGAGCAGAGGTTACTGAGACACCCAGAAACTGAAAACATAGTCACAGAGAGGAAGTATCACACATGGAAACTTGTCTGTGTCAGATCTCAGGCTGTCAGAGCGGGGGCCGGGGGCTCAGAGAGCTGATACAATGTCACTGAGTACAACCTCACAGGTAAGAGCTGGAATACAGCAAGGGGCAGGAAATCAGAGGGGTAATAATACATAAACATCGCCTTACTGAAAGCTGAACAGGCTAAATATTCAAACTGCCAAGAAAGTTAAAGAATTCTCTGAATTAGCCGCTCTTCATTTAATTTTGCCATTCCAATATTAATCCACTGCAATTCGGAGTTTAGTGAATAAACCTCTTTAGTAGCTCCATTTGTTTCTGATTATTGACCTAACATGCATTTCATCACATGATATGATTGTCTGATCTCCGTCTGGGATCTCTGTCTTTTCAATCTCTCAGCTCCCCATTACTATTCTCAAGGCTGTAGTTACTAGACCCTGTATTAAAGAGAATTGAAATGGATATAGAAAATAATAATTCTCTTCACTATACTCACAGTTTATATATTGTAACCTACATTTTGCCATTTGCTACAGCTTAGAGTTTACTGAATAACCCTGTCTGTCTCAGCTGTCTCTCTCTGTCTCACGACTCTCAGCGGGCTCTATCTGTATCTCTGTCTCACGACTCTCAGCTGTCTCTCTCTCTGTCTCACAACTCTCAGCTGTCTCTCTCTCTGTATCTTTGTCTCACAACTCTCAGCTGTCCCTATCTCGGTCTCACAACTCTCAGGTGGCTCTCGCTCTGTATCTCTGTCTCACAACTCTCAACTGCTTCTCTCTCTGTATCTCTGTCTCACATCTCTCAGCTGCTTCTCTCTCTGTATCTCTGTCTCACAACTCTCAGCTGCTTCTCTCTCTGTATCTCTGTCTCACAACTTTCAGCTGGCTCTCTCTCTGTATCTCTGTCTCACAACTTTCAGCTGGCTCTCTCTCTCTATCTCTGTCTCACAACTCTCAGCTGGCTGTCTCTCTCTGTATCTCTGTCTAACAACTCTCAGCTTTCTCTGTATCTCTGTCTCACAACTCTTTGCTTCTCTCTCTGTATCTCTGTCTCACAACTTTCAGCTGGCTCTCTCTCTGTATCTCTGTCTCACAACTCTCAGCTGGCTGTCTCTCTCTGTATCTCTGTCTAACAACTCTCAGCTTTCTCTGTATCTCTGTCTCACAATTCTCAGGTTGCTCTCTACATCTCCTCTGTTGTGTCACTGGTCTCTCTGGATATCTCCTGTCTTCCTGTCCTCTAACTCACTCATAACGCTTGACTGTCTCTAATTCTCCATATGTCTTTTTTCATATCTCAGTTCCTTGATGTCTTTCTGCATCTCATTGTCTCATGTTTTATCACATCTTAGTGATGTATCAGGGTTATTTACTAAAGTGAGAATTCAAATTTACACCAGAGTAGCTAAACTGAAAGCTTAGTTGACTTAGAAAATTTATTTAATTTGGCTATTTTCACCTTAAATTTTGAAATTCACTTAGAATTCACCTTGAATCCTCATTTTAGTGAATAACCTGGTGTATCTTCCCTTGCTCTCCATCCGAGCTGTCTGCTCTGCACCCCTCTCTATCCGAGCTGCCTGCGCGGCGCCCCTCTCCATCCAGGCTGCCTCCGCGGCGCCCCTCTCCATCCGAGCTGCCTGCTTGGCGCCCCTCTCCATCCGAGCTGCCTGCTTGGCGCCCCTCTCCTTCCGAGCTGTCTCTGAGTATTGCCTTTCTCTTTCAGAGCTATCTCTGAGTATTCTATGTCAGGATCTCTCCTTTCTATCTGAGTTTTGTCTTGGCATTACCCCTCTCGGAGTTATTCACTAAAGTGAGAATTCAAAGTGAATTTCAAATTTAGCCTCTTAAGGACCAAACTTCTGGAATAAAAGGGAATCATGACATGTCACACATGTCATGTGTCCTTAAGGGGCTAAGGTCAAAATAGTTCAACTGGAAAACTTCTCAAACTCTGTTATGTTTTCAGTTCAGCTACTCTGGCCTTATGTTTGATATTCACTGTGAATTCCCACTTTAGTACTTAACCCTGTCTGTATTGGACTCTCTGTATAGCCCACCTCCCTCTCACAACCCTTGCTTTGGATGCACTTAGCTGTACTCTCTATTTCTCTGCTAAGGGCAGGGAATCTGTCAATGCTGCCACCTGTGTTTATTTGCATGGCATTCTCAAAATAGATCAGAATTAATCAGAGCCGTTGTACATGGAGCAAGATTTTTTTTTTTTTTTTTTCACACCATGGTGTGGACATGATGTACAGCACTTTATCTGATCTCATCAGAACTTTCCTCTATTGGAATCCATACTGATAAATGGCAGTGAATGCCTGGCGCATTCTGCTGTGCCATAATTATGCATTAATTAACGATACACCCTATTCCCAGTACAATTCTACACTTTGCTGTGTACAGCCTTGCTATGCACACTGACAGACTTTGCTATATGGATACATGTTACTCTAGATGCTAATTCTCTGTGCAGTACACACTATTTCTCTACACATTGACACACTTTATTGTGCCCGGAGTTATGTTGGTTTACACACTGCAATACTTTGCTATGGACCCTCCACATATCATTGTGCACTGACCCTACATGGTTTGTTTTTAATTTGTATTTTTTTTTCTTTTTCTTTCTAGGTCTTTATTGTAACAAATGGCTCTAACGCCTCTCTGGGCAGTTGTAACAATCAATCTACTCTGGATAATTGTAGTGATCAATCTGTGATGTCCTCTCACACACTGCTTCTGGTGGGATACAGTCTTCTAATGCCAGTCGGGGTGATATTGAATGGAATGTCCCTGTTTGTTTTCTTCCGCTGGCTCAGGCCATTGACTGTGGTTGGAATCTTCATGTGCAACCTGGCTCTCAGTGACCTACTCTTCTCCCTGTCTCTTCCATTCAGGATCTTCTATTATGCTGAACACCAATGGCCTTTCGGAGTATTCCTCTGTCGTTTTTCTGGCTCCATGTTTCACATCAATATGTATGGCAGCTGTTTGTTCCTGCTCTGCATTAACGTGGATCGTTACTTTGCTATAGTACACCCTTTGCGCTTCCGCCATTTCCGCCGACGCAAAGTGGCTCGTTTGACTTGCCTGGCAGTATGGTTTGTCATTGTAAGTGGGTCAGTGCCTGCGGCTATTGTTCACACCTCATCCGACTGTATGAATGGAGATAAAGTGGTCCATCGCTGTTTTGAGGCTTTCCTCAGCTGGCATGGTACAGTCTTTCCCCTGATGTTGGTGGCAGAGGTAATTGGGTTCTTATTGCCCTTGGGGGCAGTGTTATATAGCTCTTGCCATGTGTTTTGGGAGCTCTGCAGAGATCAGATAGGAGGTCGACGACGGCACAAGAAGACAATTAGGCTGCTCATTGTAAACCTTGGAATATTTATCTTTTGCTTTGTTCCTTATAACACAGTGCTTGTGGCATATGGGCTTCTGAGAGCAAAAGTGATTGTAGATCATTTCAGTGTATTGCCAGTAATGAAACAAACACTTTCTGTTACTGTTCTGCTTGCCAGTACAAACTGTGCTCTTGACCCAATGATTTATTATTTCAGCACTGATGGCTTCCAAAATACTCTACGCCATCTTAGTGGGAAGGGAAGAGACTCTGGGGTTGTGGTGTCATCCAGCAAGAACACACAAAATACTTTGGTCTCCACCAATGCAAACTCCAGCATTGACACTGAAAAAAAGGATATGAAAGAGGGCACATGTACTATCAGGGAGAGGGAAGTCAATGGCAAAGAAAGAAAAAGATTGATAGAAGAATCTGAGATATGAACAATGGTGTCTTGAAGCAAAGAGTGTGGACACAATTTGGCCATAAAGTAGGAAGTAAAACTGAGTGTCTCAGGGCACAGGTTGAAGTTTCATAATAAACCACGAGAGAGAGAGAGAGAGAGAGAGAGAGAGAGAGAGAGAAAATATGTGAGGACCTTGAATTTAAGGAGAAATGGGGAAATGTATGGAGTTTGTTGTGAGAAGCAATGAAAAGTAAAGGTAAAGAATTAGGATTCCACGAGAATGAAGCGAGAAATTGGGTGGAAGAGTCGAGATTAACAAAACGTTTAGAAAAACTGAACAGTGTGTGGAACAAAAGACTAGTCAGAGGATTGTAAATTGGCAAATGCAAAAATGATATAAAATGAACTAGTGAAAATGTGAGACATTGAGATTAGCAGTAAGGTTAGGAAGTAGAACATATGGCATTGGGAATCAGAGATTGGGAGGAAAGTGGCAAGTGAAAGAGTGAGACTCAGAGATTTTCAGGGAGGTTAGGAAATTGGTTAGAGATTATAAGGAAAGTAGGATATTAAGTAGTTGGGCACAATAGGCTTTCGGTGATTGGAAACAAAGTATGCTAAACCAGCAAATATGATTGTTATATTGTAGTTGCCACCACAAAACATACTTAATGCAACGTAATACCATGCGGAGGAAAAAAAACATAGCAATAGCAACAAACTGTAAATCTATGGCATCTATCAGGAAAGTTTAGAAGGACACACACAGCAATTTAAGAATATTTGGTCCTTGCATAGATTATGATGCAATTAGCCTGCTGTTCCTGTCTCATTTAATTTGGGTGTAGCTGTAGCAGTTTACAAAAATTCCTAAACCTACATGCCCACTTCCTGCTTGATGGCTTAATCACTCACTACCCCCACATAAATTCAGTCCAGCATATGTGCGTATAGAGCCATGCGGTTTCATTTATGTGCTTCCATACCTGGGACAGCTGTATTAAATCTTGAATAAACCGTTGCTGATCACAAGTGTGTAGTATGTCCATAGAGCTGCCACAAATAAGAATTAGAATTGGCTGAGAAAACTGACATTTACTGGTCATTGCAAAAGAGGAAAGTGATCATTAATTGTATTTAAAAAAACAAAACAAAATTGAATGCATCTTCTTAATGTGTTTAAAACGGGGGCATTAACTCAATCATGACTCCTCAACCTGCTGTAATGTAAGAAAAGGAGCAATAACTCTCCCTACAGCAATGTCACCTTGCCTAACTTATCAGTGTCATGTGTTCGAGCTAAAAGAATAAACATGAGTGAGATCATTATAATAAAACCAGAACCTTTCTTAAAAAGATCCAAAGTAAGAAAATAATCCAAAAGCCCGAAAGAATATCAGGGGCTAGTGAATATTCTCTAAATGGTGCCTACAGTCAAACTCCTGGAAGGAGGGGATAACCCTCAAATTAGTACAAATAGGGAACCTTTAATAGGAGGGGGACCTAAATATTATTTAGGTCCCCCTACTATTGAGGGTTTCCTATCTTTGTGCCTTTTAAAAAGATACCAAATATATTTTTAAAACTCTTTCATAATTGCTCATTAAAGCGTGAATTGTTGGGATTTCACCAGGCCTTTGGAAATTTTAAGTTTATGTTTTTCCATCTTTTTGGGAGTCTTTGCATATTTTGGTGTGGTGGCTCGGGGATTGCAAGTGGAGGTGAATTTTACTTACCTGATGCTGTGTCCTGTAAGCACCACCATCTTCAATCTTCAGCTCATGGTACTTCACCAGACAGGTCCACGTTTGTGCTATACACATGTGAGACTGCATCAGCCTCCGTAGATAGTCTTGTCATGAGCTAGCAACGGCTATGGAAAGTCATGAACCCCGAAGGCAGTAGCTCTGCCTTTTGTCGGGTTTTGTCAACTTGAGTATTTACCATAAGACAATGTAGTGATATATTTTGACTACAGTGGAATTTCCAATGAAATTCCAGCATAGTCTTTATGAGTTTTTTTTAGGGTGGGGAGAGTAAAGCCACTTTAAGGCCAAAGTACCTCAAAAATACCTAAAGTGAAAATGTGTTCCTAATAAGCTTTATTTTTATATATATATTTTTTTTTTTACATAAAATTGTAATTTCCCTTGCGACTCCCATCACTGTACAGTGTGGTAAATAACACTGACAGTGTATATTTGCCTCTAGTTGTACACAGAAAAATTAGTGACATGCTATTTAGCAATCCATATATACAAACAATGCATCTATTTGTAAAAGATTGTTATAAAGTCATAAGTAAATAAAGCTTGTTTGCCAGTCGTTGCTAGAGGGCATGTAATATAATGATAATTTAAAATAAAAAATAAGAAAAGCAATACGCCCATTTTGCTACACTTCACATTCTAGGAAATTAAATAAAAATTAATTTCAGCGTAGTGTTTCTTCCTACGCTTCTGGTTAGTAGATCTGGCAGTTGTGTTCTCCAAGGGTTAAACATAAGACACATCTGTGTCTACATAGAAAAACCACAATGTCAAGCAGATACATGCAAACATTTCAACATGAAAGCTAGTGAAAACACAGGCAGTGGAGAAAACATAATGTAATGTCGTTTGAACACGTCTATCACAAAGTGAACACAGCTCTGACACAAGTGAGTGGGTTGACGCACCTTAAAGTGACAATACCAGTATATTTCGGGAGACCGATAACCAGTGTATGTATATGATCTCATTGGTGATCCTCACACATGTAATTGTACCACACCATTTCTTTTGCCTTTTGTGTTAAAGTGACAGCTGAAATATCATTCTACTGTCTTCATACAATGCTGCATGTTGTTAAATGAATGCGTTATGTTTTTTTAAAACATGCTGTCAAGAAAATACTGTCAAACTAAATATGAATTTACAATTATCTTTAACAAAGTGTTAATGTATTTTGGTTATGAAAAGTGCTACCTTTTTATTTTTTCAATTTTTATTAACGTAACACTGCCACATCCCAGGATTTTTATTATGTTTACGTATCTCTAAATTTAACAAATATCTGCTTGTGAGGTGTAAACATTGAAAGGGACGTTAGAAGTCTAAATAGCTATTTTGTCCTCCGGTCCCCTAATCTCCAGAAAAAAAGGTAATTTATGCACCTTTTTCCAGTGATGCGCGGGTCCAGGCGCTGCCATTGGCGTGCGCAGCCTATTGCATAAGGGTGTGCACCCTAATGCACAAACACACATGAGATTATATATATATATATATATATACACACTGCTGTATGTGTGTGTGTGTGTGAGGGCACTGTGTGTGCATGAGGGTGCTGTTAGTGTGTGTGTGTGTAAGGGTGTTGTATTTGTGAGGGTGGTGTGTGTAAGAGTGCTGTTAGTGTGTGTGTGGAAGGGTGCTGTGTGTGTGTGTGTGAGGGCACTATTTGTGTGTGTAAGGATATGTGTGTGTGTGTGGAAGGGTGCTGTGTGTGTGTGTGTGTGTGTGAGGGTGCTGTTAGTGTATGTGTAAGGATGCTGTTACACATACACTAACAGCACTGTTAGTTGCTGTTAGTGTGTGCTGTGTGTGTGTATGTGTGAGGGTGCTGTTAGTGAGGGTGCTGTGTGTGTGTGTGTAAGGGTGCTGTTAGTGTGTGCTGTGTGTGTAAGGGTGTTGTGTGTGGGTGCTGTTAGTGTGTGTGAGTGCTGTGTGTGGGTGCTGTTTGTGTGTATTTTGTGGGGTGGGGGGACCGTTTAGTTAATATCCCCCCTTCCTTCTTATCTTATGTATGTGGTGGTCCAGTGGAGAGTGAACTCTAGCCTGCGCAGCAATGCTCCGACCTTGCGAGAGGAACTCGGTAGAGCTGCTGGCTAGAGCTCCCCGGGTCCTCTCCTGCCTCCCTCCATGCTGCTGTGGGCCGGTGAGGTAGATCTTTGACCTCCCCACCGGCCCATGGAGGGAGGCACATAGTGCGGGCCACGGGGATTAGGGTGTGCCCAGGCACACCCAGCACACCCCTTGCGCACGCCTATGGGCGCTGCAGACCACCAAACTTGATGATCTCAGCCAATACTTTACCATATAAAAGCATTGGGAGGCTATTACGCATGAGCGGCAATACGTCACTTTGCGCCAATCGGCATCTCCCCATAGAGATGTATAGACTCAATCTAAATAAATACACTATATACACACAAGCATGCAATAGTGAAAAAAGTGTGTAGCGCTCAGCAATTATCACTTACTCCCCAATATTACTTTAGGGTTTGTAAGGTGCCTGGGTAGTCCGTGTTGCAATCCCAATAAGTTCCTCAAAGAAAACAGAGAATAAAACGGGGAAATCGCCCTGGTGTTGAAATCCTTATGATTACAATGACAAATATAAACAGAAAGGTGAAGGTTGCTTCTCACCTGGAAAAGAGCCTGTAACTTGGCTCTGAGCATGACAGCTTATGAGTCTTTTTAAAGGGATGACTCTTGCCCCCTTTTAGCAGGATAGAAGATGTCCCAAGTGTATGTATTAAAATTGAATTTATTGCATAAACATTAAAAACATCAATAAAATTCATACATTACACTGGTATCTTGTCCAAAACGCGTTTCACCGACCTCTCTCGGCTTTCTCAATTGGTAACTACTATCCTACTCGATCCTGATTAAAATCCCCACCTCTCGTCCTGATTGGAAGAAGGAGATCGATTTTTTTTCAGCCAATCATGAACGTTTTTACGTCTGAGTGGTTGCCACTAGAGGTTTTACTAGGCAGCAATGTAAACACTGCCTTTATCTGAAAAGGCCTGCAGGGATATGCTATAGACACCAGAACAACTACATTAAGCTTAAAGGACCACTATACTCGTTTTCCTGGCACTATAGTGTTAATAGGTCCCCCCGACCCTCAGGGTCCCCCTCCCGCTGAGCTCTAGGGGAGGAAGGGGTTAATCCCTTACCTTTCTCTTCTCCTCCTTCTGACGTCATCGGCTGAATGCAGTGTCCCTTTAAATGAAATTTAGAATCAACATCACTTTATCTTGAAACTCCGTGCCTCTGTCTTGGCTCCCTGTCAGTCCTTATTACAAGTTCTGTACTTTGCACCTTGCAGTCAGCATAGAAAAAACCTACAGTGAAAAATAAAAAATTAAAAACTATTTCTATATCTCCTCCTCGTTTGCAATGTTTGTCTTGACTTTGCCTTGTCTGACCTGGACTGTGTCGTTTGCTAAATTTGTTTTTTGTCCAATGTTTTATTCAATGGTGTAAATTTCAGAGAAAGGACAATTACTCTTTAAATGGATAAAAAAAAAAAAAAAAAAGATGGCTATTAACTAACTTGAGAGTCCACAGGACAAGCAAGGTAAACCAGAGTTGTATGCTTAAAGGTGCACTATAGTGCCAGGAAAACAAACACGTTTTCCTGGCACCATAGGGTTATTAGGTCTCCACCTCCCTCGTGGCCCCCCTCCCGCTGGGCTGAAGGGATTAAAACCCCTTCAGCCACTTACCTTAATCCAGTGCCGGGCTCCCTCGGCGCTGGTGACCTCTCCTCTCCCTGCCGATGTCAGCTCCCGAGTGAAGCCGCATGCGCGGCCAGAGGCGTGCCCACTAGAGGCTGGATTAACCCTGCACTGTTTTCAGCTGCAGAGTTAAAACTAGGGGAACCTGGCAGGGGAGGGCTGGCAGCCTTAGGCCTGGGGGGCAAAATCAGTCAAGTGGCCCATTGCACCACCAAATCAGTGCAATGGTGCCCACCTTTTCCTGGTTTTATAACGGATATTGATGTTATGCTAATCACTAGCTCTTTGCCATACCCGCTCCTTCACAGCTCTGACTTTCAATGTTGTCAAAGCGCAGGCTGAGAATCTCTGAGCCTGTGCTCTGACTCACTAACTGAGCGTCGGAACCACGAGGGAGAGGCTATAATCTGACTGCACCTACTACTGGTGCGTACCAGTGGACCACCAGCGAATCGTTTAAATTGAATAGGCTGGTGTCCCCAACTTGTGAGCTGTGTTGTCCGCCGGGCGCCTCTGTTGTGATGGCACCCTGCGTGACCGCACAGCGTGCACACCCCAACGGCTGGCCCTGTTGACACACACTGATGTTACTACTTAGAAATCCCTCAATATTAATACAGACATCAGAGTAAACACCAATAAACTGTGGAAACAGAGCTGATCCCCTCAAATCTATAAAGATTTGCTTATTTGTTGTAAGATTAAATCATGCCTCCTCCTCTCTCTCTCTCCCATGCGCTGCTCTGTAAGCTGGGAGGAAGTGAAGAGTAATCACAATCTCCCAGCACAGTGGCACCTGTGGCTGCATGGGGAACAGCTGTATTTCCCGCCCCCCATGTGACATCACAATGCCCCACCTATATGAGCTGCCATACGAACTAAGGCCAGTGCTGCCCACAGTGTGTGTTTACATTAAAAAGCCTGCAGGGACCGGCTATAGACACCAGAACCACTTCATTAAGCTCCAGTCGTTCTGGGAAATATAGTGTCCCTTTAATGTGAGGTAAATTATAGATTAGTGTCACTAATAATATACTAGATTTCCTACTTACAACCAAATGAGGATGATGATGGGCTGCAGTTTGGCTCCACTGGTCTGGTGTAGAACAGGATCTCTGGAGGCTGCTTGCAACTGTGGTCACAAAATTCAATGTTCTGGGAGAATTGGAAGCAGCTCCATTTTTTGGGCTCCCTTAGCTGCCTGTCTGGGGCAGGGCTCTGACTGTGAGTATGCGCATAAGTGCCCACTATAAGTTCACTTTATAAGTGTTCCACCTACTCATGCTGCCAGGAGGGAGTGTAGGGGATGGGCAGGGTGTTGTAGAGGATCTAATATGTGTGCTAATGGTATGTAGTGTATAGGGAAACCAGTTTGTGCAGGTGATGCAGTGTGTTTGTGTGTAGTGGAAGCAGTGTGTATTTGTGTATAAGGGATGTATTGTGTGTTTCTGGTTGTGTGTAAGGGATGCATTGCGTGAATCTGTGTTTGTATGCATAAGGGATGCAAGGTGTGTGTCTGTAAGTGTGTGTATTGAGTGTGTGTTAGTGATGCATTGTGTTTCTGTGTGTATGTAAGAAAAGCAGTGTGTGTGTAAGTGTTTGCATTATGTGTTTCTGTGTATGTGTGCAAAGGATGCATTGTCTTTGTATGTAAGTGTTGCATTGTGTGTGTGTAATGGATGCATTGTGTGTTTCTCTGTGTGTAAGGGAAGCATGTTGTGTTTCTGTGTGTAGGGATGCATTGTGTGTTTCTGTGTATGTATAGGGATGCATTGTGTGTGTGTGCGTAGTGTGAAAGAGCTCCCTGTCTTGCCCCCTGTCCTATAGAGCTGTCCCTTCTAGCTCTCCCCTGCCCCCTTAGTGGTCTCTCCTCTCCCCCACCCTCGCCTAGCGGTCTCTTCTCACACTCACCCACCCTCCCTGTGCTCTTCTCATCCACCCTCCCTGTGCTCTTCTCATCCACCCTCCATGTGTTCTTCTCACCTCCCCCCTCCCTGTGTTCTCCTCAACTCCCCCCTTCCTGTGTTCTTCTTACCCTCTCTCCTCCCTGTGTCCTCCTCACCTTCCCCTCCCTGTGTTCTCCTCACCACCCACCCTCCCTGTGTTCTTCTCAATCCCCCCTTCTCCTCATCTCCCCTTCTCCTCACAACCCACCCTCCCTGTGTTCTTCTCAGTCCCCCCTTCTCCTCATCTCCCCTTCTCCTCACTCTTACTCTCCCCCCTCCTCCTTGTGTTTTTCTTACTCCCCCCTTGTTCTTCTTACCCCCCGTTTTTCATACCCCCTTCTTCTTATTATTCCCCCTCCTCCTCCTTCTGTTACTCCCCCCTCCTTCACTTACTCCCCCCTCCTTCACTTACTCTCCCCCTCCTCCTCCTTCTGTTACTCCCCCCTCCTTCACTTACTCTCCCCCTCCTTCAC